GTAGGATGTACAGCCGGGTGCCGAGTGTTGTAGAAACATAGGGTAGGATGTACAGCCGGGTGTGGAGTGTTGTAGAGACATAGGGTAGGATGTACAGACGGGTGTTGAGTGTTGTACAGACATCTCGTAAGATGTACAGACGGTTGTGGAGTGTTGTAGAGACATCGGGTAGAACTTAGAGATGGAATTGAAGTGTTGTAGAGACAGACGGGTACGATGTACAGCCGGGTGCCGAGTGTTGTGGAGACATAGGGTAGGATGTACAGACAGGTGTGGAGTGTTGTACAGACATATGGTAGGATGTACAGACGGGTGTGGAGTGTTGTAGAGACATCGGGTAGAACTTAGAGATGGAATTGAAGTGTTGTAGAGACAGACGGGTAGGATGTATAGACGGGTGTGGAGTGTTGTAGAAACATAGGGTAGGATGTACAGCCGGGTGTGGAGTGTTGTAGAGACATAGGGTAGGATGTACAGACGGGTGTGGAGTGTTGTACAGACATCTCGTAAGATGTACAGACGGTTGTGGAGTGTTGTAGAGACATCGGCTAGAACTTAGAGATGGAATTGAAGTGTTGTAGAGACAGACGGGTAGGATGTACAGCCGGGTGCCGAGTGTTGTGGAGACATAGGGTAGGATGTACAGCCGGGTGTAGAGTGTTGTAGATACTTTGGGTAGGATGTACAGACGGGTGTGGAGTGTTGTAGAGACATAGGGTAGGATGTACAGACGGGTGTGGAGTGTTGTAGAGACATAGGGTAGGATGTACAGACGGGTGTGGAGTGTTGTACAGACATCGGGTAGGATGTACAGACGGGTGTGGAGTGTTGTAGAGACAGACGGGTAGGATGTACAGCCGGGTGCCGAGTGTGGTAGAGACATAGGGTAGGATGTACAGACGGGTGTGGAGTGTTGTAGAGACATCGGGTAGGATGTACAGACGGGTGTGGAGTGTTTTAGAGACATCGGGTAGGATGTACAGACGGATGTGGAGTGTTTTACAGACATCGGGTAGCATGTACAGACGGGTGTGGAGTGTTGTAGAGACATCGGGTAGTATGTACAGACGGGTGTGGAGTGTTGTAGAGACATCGGGTAGGATGTACAGACGGGTGTGGAGTGTTGTAGACACATAGGGTAGGATGTACAGACGGGTGTGGAGTGTTGTAGAGACATCGGGTAGGATGTACAGACGGGTGTGGTGTGTTGTACAGACATCATGTAGGATGTACAGACGGGTTTTGAGTGTTGTACAGACATCGAGTAGGATGTACAGAGGGGTGTGGAGTGTTGTATAGACAGCGGGTAGGATGTACAGACGGGTGTGAAGCGTTGTAGAGACATCGGGTAGGATGTACAGACGTGTGTGGAGTGTTGTTCAGACATCGTGTTGGATGTACAGACGGGTGTGGAGTGTTATACAGACATCAGGTAGGATGTACAGACGGGTGTGGAGTTGTAAACACATGGAGTAGGATGTACAGACGGGTGTTGAGTGTTGTACAGACATCGGGTAGGATGTACAGACGGGTGTGGAGTGTTGTAGAGACATCGGGTAGGATGTACAGACGGGTGTGGAGTGTTGTTCAGACATCGTGTTGGATGTACAGACGGGTGTGGAGTGTTATACAGACATCAGGTAGGATGTACAGACGGGTGTGGAGTTGTAAACACATGGAGTAGGATGTACAGACGGGTGTTGAGTGTTGTACAGACATCGGGTAGGATGTACAGACGGGTGTGGAGTGTTGTAGAGACATCGGGTAGGATGTAGAGACGGGTGTGGAGTGTTGTATAGACATAGGGTAGGATGTACAGACGGGTGTGGAGTGTTGTAGAGACATCAGGTAGGATGTACAGACGGGTGTGGAGTGTTGTAGAGACATCGGGTAGGATGTACAGACGGGTGTGGAGTGTTGTACGGACAACGGGTAGGATGTACAGACGGGTGTGGAGTGTTGTAGAGACATCGGGTAGGATGTACAGACGGGTGTGGAGTGTTGTAGAGACATCGGGTAGGATGTACAGACGGGTGTGGAGTGTTGTACAGACAACGGGTAGGATGTACAGACGGGTGTGGAGTGTTGTAGAGACATCGGGTAGGATGTACAGACGGGTGTGGAGTGTTTTAGAGACATCGGGTAGGATGTACAGACGGGTGTGGAGTGTTGTAGAGACATCGGGTAGCATGTACAGACGGGTGTGGAGTGTTGTAGAGACATCGGGTAGTATGTACAGACGGGTGTGGAGTGTTGTAGAGACATCGGGTAGGATGTACAGACGGGTGTGGAGTTGTAAACACATCGGGTAGGATGTAGAGACGGGTGTGGTGTGTTGTAGAGACATCGGGTAGGTTGTACAGACGGGTGTGGAGTGTTGTAGAGACATCGGGTAGGATGTACAGATGGGTGTGGAGTGTTGCAGAGATAGTGATAGTACGTAGAGACGGGATTGGAGTGTTGTAGAGACATAGGATATTATGTTGAGACAGGTGTAGACTTACCATCATGCACACGAAAGTACAACCGTACATATTCATGCTACTCTCAACACTTAACATATATTCATACCTTGTACTGCTTGTGATGAACAACTCAAACAAGTTTTAATTATCCTACTTCGTCATATGGTATTTCTGCATTTAAGTGAATTATAGTTGCTATTAATTATGCCATCTCCTTTTAAGGCTATATCCATTGTGCCGTATATTGTATACACATAGTTATTTCAAACAGAGACAAACGTCTGTCCTGTATTTGACATGCCTGCATGTGTACAGCCTGCAGATAAGCGACCTAGATATCACAATGCAAATATTTCCTTGTGCAGTGAGCTATTAAAACCAGTAGCTACAGTTATCCCATGTCACGGTCTGTAGTTTCACGTTAACTGTCGTCCCTGCCATTTAAATTTACACGGGAAACAAATCAACAACAAACTCACACTTAGCGTTCAGGGATGCCCACATATATTACCCACAAGGACACTGATGTGTCAGAAACTATTTCTAGTTATTTACAATGAGCATTGTATTTGTTGGTTTATGCTGATTCACGCCAATTGTTCAGTTGGTTTGGAGCGGTCTATAGATATATGTATTCATACCAGCGCTGAGAAGCAAATGTTTGGAAATGTTGTCATCGATGTTTCATAATGCAATGTATAAGGTGACGTTGCAACAAAAGAGGGACTGGGTTGATGTCTCTGCTTGTGGTCGGGAAACAAACATCTTTGCATACTTTCTGTAAACAATACTACAGGTAAATTATAACACAAACAATTCGCATTTGATACATATCAATATCTGTCCCTCGGGAAAGAATGTTAAACACTTGATTCACTCGACACAGCTTGTCCCTGGTTTCTGGTGGTGCGTGATGTCCTGTATATGTCACTAGCTACAGCCCACTCTCATACATGTGTAGCTGCAGGGACCAGTATAACCTACTGACGCCCCAACACAGCAACTATATGGGGAATCCACTAGCCCATGTTGTACAGTGCCTAGCAATTTAAAGTTGCATAAAGTATGCTTAGAAAAAATGTTTTGTGTGTATATTTTGATGAACAACTTCAACAACAATTTTCATAATTAGCCATATTCTCTGCCTCGAATTTAAAAAGAAATCATAACCCTTTAACCCAGTATTTAATTAATGTAAATGTATATCTAGGGTTAATGTTTAAAGTTAGAGTTAGGGTTAGGGTTAGGGTTAGGTTAGGGTTAGGTTAGGGTTAGGTTAGGGTTAGGTTAGGGTTAGGTTTGGGTTTAAAGTTAAAGTTAGGGTTAGGGTTAGGTTTAGGTTAGGGTTTAAAGTTAGGGTTAGCGTTAAGGTTAGGGTAAGGGTTCAAAGTTAGGGTTAGGGTTATAGTTAGGCATACTTTGAAGCAGGAGTAACGGTCGGAAATCGTCCTTTATTTTGTCGTTTTGAGCAAAAACAGGTATAGACAATGTTAATATACAAGATGTAGGAATGTATTTGTATTCACTGGTAGGAACATAACTTCTTCATTTCGGAATTAACGTTTCAGCAACAATTCATGAACAATTTACTGGAATAAAGTGATTGTGTCGAGAATGGGATCATTTGAATAAAACAATTATAGCCAAAACACAAGGTGAGTTGAAAGCATCCAAGTATTTAACATGCTTTCATAAATATTCTGTATATACTCAACAATGTGCTTCTCAAGTATGTGGTAATATCTCATAAACAACCTGCCATGTTTTGCACAGGTGACTGCACAAGCAGGGTGTGTGATATAAACATGTATGCATGGCCACAATAGTGTCTGGTGTGTCGTTATTCATCGTGTTTTATGCTGTGACACCCTTTACGGACACGATGTGCTACAATACACATACATACAGCTATATCTGCATGTCATTTCTCCTCACTATTGTGCAGCTCAATAGGGAAAATCCTGAAGTGTCTCCAAGCAAACATTGTCTGTCGTTCAGTACTGCTCTCCTTGCCAGTCTGGAGCATTACGGGGATGACAGAGACACATGTACTTGAGAAAAAACAACATGTGTTAATGCTACGATTAAATTTGTATTTAGTACTTCGCGATAATGTGGATGTAATATACATTTATATGACACAAATAGCAACAAGAACAAAGAGATGCATTTTGTTGCCATAGTAACAGGCTCAGGTGTGCTATTGCATTTTAAGATCCCAAAGACTGGACCCAGGTGCAGAAACCGTGTGAAAAATACACATTACAGTTATTTCAAGAAACTAGCGGCTTGAAAATAATACTCATCACATGTTGTTTGTGTTCCCGATGATAGTGAACGCATGAGGTGCTTGCCCCTTTCATAAAACAGCAGGGGGTTATTTTATTACTTTACAAACATTAATCGTAGGACCAGCATCTTGTGCAAAAAACAAGCCAATCCAAAGTCAACCCGAACGAGTTACCGCACAACACCTACCACAGTATGTGCAGCATTTAACAAGATCAGTGCGATATGAAAACAAAACAAAACACATTTTCCTTTTCTCATTAATGTTAGTTTACTTTATTTTCCTTGCACAGCGAGTAAGCCAAACATATGACAATGGATTTGATGGGATAACACAAATCTATTTCACTTCTTGAAGCGAGAACCCAAATATTGTTATATATATTATTTTCCTTTGATACTATTCTGTATGGCCTCGCCATTGTGATGATGCTCTGCATGGTGTCGTCAGAACGATCATGCATAAATGTGACAAAAAACGCAGACAATCAAAGCCGATACATCAGTGTGGAAAATATTACTAGACAGCCAGAGCCAGATAGGCTTTTAGTTTGTGTTTCACTGGGAACATGTGGAGACAACAGCATTGTGTAAAGCATTTTCAATGTAGTCTCTAGTACTTTTGTCAGTCTGTCTCAGTTTCATTCCTCCATGTCCTGGCAAGGAGTTTGACATATATTAAATGTATGTGTTCAAAAGCAATTGAAAAGGATTACTTTCTCATGAGGTGAGATAACCTGCACATACTTTGAGACATACAAAAATAATCCCATTCTCAAATATAACAATCTAACTGGAAGTCTCTAGTAACATATTGATAATCACTTGTGAGGCCTAATAACATGAACTTAGCAGGAGCCGTTCGTTCAAACGGGCACGTGTTGAGGTGACATACTGTATGGAACAACTTCCTGAATACATCCGTAGTGACTTTCTGGGGTGTAGATTCTAACACAGGTATCAAGGGGTGAGTGAGTGAGTATGGAATTATGCAGCTTTTACCAAAGATTCCAGCAATATCACATCGGGGGACACCAGAAATGGGCTTCACCGATTGTACCCATGTGGGGAATTGAACCTTGGTTTTTGGTGTTTCTTGTGAGCGCTTTAATTACTAGGCTACCCCACCGCCTAATTACCAAAGCACTACCGTTCCAATTGATTAGGTGTGAATCGTTAATATGTGGATAAAAAACTATAGGGCATCAGCTCTAGCATATTGTCTCATAGTTGAGAGTAAAGAAAACCGAGTAAATAAACACAAACAGTCTCCCTACTGGAAATATTAGATTCAACTTATGCCATCATCACTTTCACAATAAGGAAATTGTAATTTTCTAAATGTGAAAAGAGTTAAACCAACCGTTTAAATATATATGCACCAATTTCAATAAGGACGGAGTAACTACTAATTGTATATGAAATACACATTTTGTAACAATCAAATCGAAAAGATAACGGTGGAACAGTTTGTGATGACACTGAAGAAAGAATGACGCTACGTAAGCATTAATATCCATCAATACATGTATGTTTTCAACGTTTTGCCTTACGTACACTGTAAGATCATCGTCATACAGCGTTAGGTAACAACAACAACAACAACACCTTGAAAGATAATCAGTATGTATACAACATTTCAGTATGTCTATGCAAGAGGAGGAAGGTTGCAAAGTTTGATCATGACTGCAACCATTAAGGCCATAAGTAACACGGCCAACATTGCTTTAACACTCCCATAGGTAGGAGGACCGAGAGTACGTCTGTTCTGATCATGTTTGCTGATTACACTGTACATTCTTTCTTGCTGCTCTTGATGGAGTTTCTTCTCTTCTTGGTCCACGCAGCTGGACAGGATTCTCTGAAGAACCCTGAGATGCTGGAGTTTAGAGATCACATCCGCGTCTGTATCCTGAACGTAGTTCCTGACGAAACTGATAGACGAGGGGAGTACGCCAGTCTTATTTGACATCAATCTGACAGCTTCCTGTACTTTACTCGACTGGTACAGGTTGGGCAGATTGGCTCTGTCACGGAACTGGTGGTCACACTCATCAAGGTGGGTGAGGACCAGGTGGATGGATGTGTCTGAAACATGACAACAAGCCCAATATACATGGTGGGTGAGGACCAGGTGGATGGATTTGTCTTAAACATGACAACAAGCCTAATATACAAGGTGGGTGAGGACCAGGTGGATGGATGTGTCTCGAACTTCGAATCCAGATCTTTACTATATTAGTAAGTTTTATAAGAAGACACCTAGTCCAGAGGTCACCAGTGGGGGCAGCAGGGATGGGATCTGGTGGCAGGTGGGTTTGTGTTATACTACATGATTGTCCTGAAGATCATTAATTTATCGTTGTTTCACCACATATGTGTTCAGTCATTTACACGTGGACGTTAACGCTCGTTCCTTGCAGGCAGAAGAGACATACCTCCATTTGCGACAGTTGTTCGGACGCACTCTAGCTGTCTCTGGATTTCCATTCCAAAGTCCCCATGTTCATGTCGCAGAACTACAACCACACAGGAGACGTGGTGGTCGTGGGGCGTGTTGAAGGTTTGGTGCGTTATTCCAAGATCCTTCCCAATCTGGATTGTAAAGAGGGACAACATTTGTATATTTTGATATAGAATGGAATGTTGTTCGTGGTTCCAAGAGATGCATACAAAATATAAGATATGAAGTCATCATTACAATGCTTCATCATCGTCTCAGGCGCCGCGATTCGTTGTGCAGAAGATGCGTCCCTTGGGTACGCCAGAAACCTATTACTGGGGTTCGAATCCCGCTCCGCACCGATTATGTTTCTTGGTTTGTCAGCACCATACCCGTGCTCGTGGGTTTCACCAAAGTGATAAACGTCTGAAACATTCATCACTTTGGGATTTTCTCCCACATGAAGCTGACAGCCGCGATATAACTGGAATATTGTTAAAAACGGCGTTAAATCAAACTCACTCACTCACTCACTCACTCACTCACTCACTCAAAATTAGTTTAGAGGACAAACTAAAATGTGTAGAATTAAGAAGTTATGTGTCGAAAAGTGTTACTGAAATTCTTATTTGCCATACCTTGGCTTGCAATGGAACTTCCCCTGACAAAATACTGATGATGTGTGAGGATAAGATGCTGCGTGACTCGAATATACCAGGCATGTCATATATCCAATGATTCTTGTATAGAGCTCCTTGGAACTGTAAGATGAAATCATGTTGACATCCACATTCGTGTTCTTAATAAACAAATGTATCTCAGTGCTTTCAAAATTTCAAATGATAAAACATATGACTATTCTGTGAAACGTGGGGGCGAATTGGTTGTGTTGTAAAAAATGTATTGATGATTTGCATGAACCAAGGTACATATATAGAACGTTTGACTTGATAGGGGCAACCTTGAGGTCAAACCTTTGGCTAGCCACATTGACTAACGAGTAGATTGTGTCAAGATTATTGTTGACGTCCTCACCATAACATACATGGGGAATCTGTAAACGCAACATTAAACTATGTACTACTCTAAATGCCAAGTTAGCCCTACTGGATACAGAAAGACAATAACTTACACCAGTGGTAAGAGATTCTGGACCAGATGTCACAGCATGGTAATTTGAAGGATGCTCCATGTTGAGGAGTGCTGTCCTAAACCCATTACCAAGAGATGATTTACCCATGCCAGTTGGTCCAAACAGCAGGATCTTCAGCTGCAATAGCTTGCCTGCACTGTTATACCGCGGCTCCAAAAAATCCTTTTGCAACCTTTGGTATTCCTGTTCCAACACACATCACTCGTATATTTTTTTATTTCGAATAGACATTGGTCTTTTCAAACATGTACTAGTTTCATTTACATGTGAGATTATTTCAAAATGTCTACCTTTCTTTGGTGATGAGGTCATCAAATCAGATGTTTCAGTTAGGGGTGGGTACTGTGGTTTGTATTTTCTCAAATAGTGGTTCATTTAAGCGTTGATTCAAATTGTAGAAGAACAACCAAAGGCAAGAAAACAATGGATTAAGTATAATGTCAAACCTCACGCGTCCAGATAAGGTCCCCCGCAGGCCCCCATCCATATTGCTGAAAGGATGAACATACACGTAACGTAGAACAGTCCCATGAATAAACTGCGAATGTTAAAATCACGCACGTTTTGTTAATTGAGGTATAATTAATTTATGTCACTTTTTTGTTTTGTTGAATGGGACTAAGATCAAGACCATACGTTTATGGTAAAATGTTTCTAGATGAACTAGTCTTACAAACCTCATCCTCAGCAACTGAATCTGAAATGCAAATAGACAATGAAAGGTTGATACACATCAAGTATATGTGTATTTATTTGAAAGAAATAGTATCTCTTCATTACAACGATGTGGTCCTTTTTTATTTGAATATGCTCAATACCAAGTTATTTTTCTAAGTTCACTACTCTCTGTGTCCGGTGGAACTTGTCTATGTACATATAGTATGTTGCCACTGACCTTCTGCGTCTTGTGTCTCTGTCTCCCATTCCTGTAGTAAAGATGCAAACGATATGTTAACGGAAGGAAGAAAACTTGTTGTTCAGTACAATAATAAATAGTGAGTGAGTGAGTATTGTTTTACGCTGCTTTTAACAATATTTCAGCAATATCACTGCAGGGGCACAAGAAATGGGCTTCTCACATTTTACCCATGTCGGGAATCGAATCCGGGTCTCCGGCGTGACGAGCAAACGCTTTAACCACTAGGCTACCCGACCGCCCCTACAATTCTAGATATGTTCCATGGAGTAGTTTAAGTGCATTTTTGGCTTTAATAGATCATTTATGTACTTTGATTTCATGATGGATGTAACAACTGATATGATGTCATAAGATTCACTTACTTGCTTGTTATCACGGCCTGTAATAAGAATGATGATAGGTTGAGTGTATGCAAGTGAGGATGTGAGTGACACATCAGAATCCTTCCCCACCTGCCTTGAAAGCTGATGAATAGTGAAATGTCATAAATAACTCTCAAATAGTTATCGAGTTGAAGTAAAATAATAACATATAATAGAATATACTTACTTAAAATAATAGAACATACTTACCGAAGCCAGAATCTGTTTCACTTTGGTTTAGAAATCTTTTCAAAAGTAGAGCTGAAACATAGGTATAGAATCTTACTTTGAACACATTACAAGCAGTGATTAGGGGCAATGAGCCCTTCAATCCATCACTCATCCATCAGCCATCACCATCATCCTTCACAATATAACACCATTCATCCGCCTAACCCTCATCATTCGACATCCATCATCGTTCATGCATCAGTCACCACGATAATCCATCACAATATATCAACATTCATCCACCTAACGGTCATCACTCGCCATCCATCTTCGTTCATCCATCAGTCACCATCATCATCCATCACAATATATCACCATTCATCCACCTAACGGTCATCACTCGCCATCCATCATCCTTCATCCATCCATGTGAGTGAGTGAGTATGGTTTGACGCCGCATTTAGCAATATTCCAGCAATATCACGGCGGGTGACACCATAAATAGGTTTGACACAATGTACCCACGTCGTGAATCGAACTCTTCGGCGTGACGAGCGAACGCTTAAACCACTAGGCTAACCCACTGCCCCTTTCATCCATCAAAGTGTCATCTTAACAATTCTTTTTACAATTTTAAACTACATGTAGAATATGAAAACACACCTTTTCCGTCACGTTCAAGGGATTCAATAATTATCTCGCTCTCAAGCTGGTCCTACAATGGATAAATGTCACTTTTAGAGATAAACGTTATGTCTTTATGTCACATTGCCATGGAGATGTATTCAGGCATATAATCATGTTTTGAAAAGATTTCTCTCTGTGAAAACGTGCATGTGTACTATATCAAAATATTCGATGACGAAATTCATTTAGAAATCTACATTTGGGGAAAATCGTCATGCATATCTCATACATTGTAACTGCTTTTGTCAGTTCCTCTATCTGTTTTGGATAATAAAAATAAGTCACGATATATGTTATACTACATTTAACTATCATGATATAAAACAGCATACATGTATACCATATTCATACTTTTGGAGGCCTAATTACTATTTAGAATTTGACCCATGTCAATATATGCTTCTCAGAAATGTTATCGAAACAGTTGCCATGTGACCTTCAGCCATGTGTTCAATAATACCTGTTGCTTTGGCTGCTATCGTTTTGTAATGTAATGCAACGTCCCAACTGACCCATCGGCGTTATACTAGGCAATTAGGTGTCAATAAAATGCATTAAATAAACATTGGAAAAATTCTCAGTTGTATATAATAATTTACCTTCACCCCTGGTTCACTATAAAGGTCAACCAGTGCCTTGGTTATGACTGTGTATCTCTCGGTATCCATATGGAGGTATCCCGGTAAGGCCTTCCGTCTGGCTACAGTTTCTAAGCACTCTAGCTTCTCCTTGAACTTCTTCTCATCCTTCCACGTGGACGCAGGTACAACTCCATATACGACATCAAGTGACACACCTGTCTCCCCCTTGATGAAACCCATGATGCTTCTCGTCAGCTGGGCATTGTACTCCACTGCATGCTCCTGTTTGCCTCCGTCCTCTACAAATGTCAGGATGTGCAGTGGCTGTGTGGCTCTAATGATAGCCACATCACAGATGGACATGGTAGGTGGTTTGCGACATTGAAACCTGCCAGTATGAGCCATCTGATGTGCAATGTAGGCCCAACCAACATGTTGGTGTAGAACATTCTGGATTTCTCTTGAAATCACATCCACTTTGTCACCGGGGTTCTGCAAACTAAGCTCCAAATAATTCTTAGTAGACTGGGGAAATATTCTGTGACCTGAAAGAATAAAACTATCATTAACATTTTACTAAGCGGATTGGTTGTTGAAAGTAAAAGACGATCAATATTAATGTACTACACATCTATCTTAGTCGACACATGGTCTTCTAAAGAATCTTAAAATAGGTATTTCACAACAAAAAGCAGTTTGACCCTGTATATATGTTATTTTGTAGAACCATGAATCCCTCAGACATTTGAGTGCAACTTAACAGTAACAGCAAAGAATGCCTTAGGAAATAGAACTTGTGTGAAACATTGACTACATTAGTTAAGTTTTGGAATTCAATAGCAATAAACTGAATGGAAATCAGAACGCTTGAATTTCAATTATTATTATTAAGTGGGAGAGACGTGATTGAACTTTTTGGACACAATTTTATTCTACAAATGTACAACCAGACAACCGATCACTATGTCCACGACCAAGTTGAGTTAAACCTAATGAAACGAAAACCTAATTAATTTTTAAAAACAATTGAGTCATAGATCTAGACATCGGCAGAACATAAACACACAGTCACAGATTTTTTCACCCGTCAATACACTTCAACACACGTCACATTAGACGTTGATTGTAAAGGATTTTATCTTCTCCCTCTAAAATGTCATGCTTGATATATGTTCATGTGCATTCAAATTAGGTCATGTCATGTCATACATTCAAAGCCGGCACAATAGCAAAGTAATCCTACTGCTTCAACCGATCAAATTGAATTTAGTTCAGATACCATAATAACATAATCGCAAAGTCTCGGGACCACACATGTTACATTCAGTAGGGATACATAGCTCGTATAGTATTCTCTAAACAACTTACCAGGATCTGTCGCCCTCTTGAGGTCTGTCTTATCAAGTATTAAGTTTCGTTCGTCTTTGCTAATTCCCACCGAGGGAAAATCTAATATGGAAAAACAGAAATATGTGTAAATGCATTGATAATTAGGTTTGTTTTCTGTTTTTATTATGCATAAACCTGTGAAAGTTCAATGAATGAACATTGTACATCTGTGCGAAATATAGTGGCCTGCAAACTACCATTTAACAAAGCATCGACCTGTAATGCAAGTTTCGCGACCTTCAGGTTCTGTAATGATCAGCTTTGTTTTGTGATACCTGCATGAAGTGGCTCCAGGTCGTCAGAACTTGACGTGGAGTCATTTCCTTGGGCAAACAGACTCATGATGATTTCTTCATCAGACTGGTATGGACTCGATCCAAGAGAACTGCCGTCATCAGTTGCTTCATCATAAGCCATCTGGACTTCATGATTATCCCCTGATGTACCCTCTGAATGATGAATGTCCCCTGAAGAAGCCTTGGACTCACTGTTCTCTCCGGACATGTTGGGAACAAACTGCATAAGGTGATTTCAAAACAGAGTTAGCATGTAAGAATTGTACAGGTTTACATTATTCTTTCTAACCACATACCTTTTTCCATTCTACAAATTTGTCCTTTTTCTATCACGTATGTTCTAGGTCCATGGCTGTCACAGAACACAACACCTTCAACACACTTCACAGCCACCTCTAGGACACATCTCTGAGGATGAGGTGGATTTGTGTGAAATGCAATAGCAATCAGATCAGAAGGGACAGCAGTGAAAGTGTTCTCACTTCGACCCCACAGTACACAGTCACGTAGCTTTGACTTGAGTGTTTTCTTTAACTCTCCCTCACCCACTTTTAACTCAAATCCATGTACATCTGGAATAATTGTTTCATATGTGTCAGTCTTAGCTGTACTCTTCTCACCTATTCCAAAATAGAAGGATCCACCTTCAGGAATCTTTGACATAGAAGTTATGCTATCCTTTAATTTAAGCTTATTCCACAGGTACTCCACAAAGTCGGTTGCATCTTTTTGTATTGCTTCAGTTAGGGTATGTTGTGGTGGAAAGCCTTTTAACTGAATGTGAATATCTTCATGTAACTGTTGATTGTCAGGTGGTAGATTTCTAAGTACAGGGTCAGTAGCTTTGAGAATATGTGATCGTACAGTGAGTAGTTGTTGTGTTGTGGGAATTACATTCTCATAATCCTTGCCAAGCTTTGTATTGAAATCTACAGTAGCTACACCTTTTACAGCTGCAACGCGTATATGAATAAATCCAGCACTCTCTGCACAATCCTCCAACATATCCTGTAACCACTGACGTCTGTAGGTGTTGGCGTAGACTTCTCCGGGTTCCAGCAAGTGGGTAACTATATTGCCGACAAACTCGTCAAAATACTTCAGACATCTGTCCCCAGCTCTTGTTCCGTTTACATGAATCAACAAAACACCACCACCACTGTTGCGTAACGCTGACAGTCTTTTACGAAGTTCGTCGCGTGTCTTATTCCTTTCTTGTGACTTCTTTAAATATATAGCCCGCTCTGTGTGGATTGAAAGTAACTCGTTGTCAGTACTTTGTCTCTTGTGTTTCGTCACCACATTATTGCATGGAGTGCAACTTGACATTTTTCGCAATACCTGTGTGGTAGTCCCAACAGTCTTTCATGTCTGTTATCAGGCTGGTGTACGTCACAATACTTTTGCAATGCTCACAACATTAGAATCACAGCAATCTCGAATTGTAACATTACCCTTTCACAGCTATGCTTGTGTCATTCTGGATTAATCTGTTTTTAAAATGTCTGGCATAACTCACTAGTCGTTCACAGTGTCGTTGAATGATAACAATAGGAGCACAGTCCTGAAACTAGAAACATATTAAAGTGAGACAAACGTTGTGAGCAAAACCAGGTGATGACCAATGGTGCAGATAACTAGTTTATAAGCAGACATTTGGGTTGCTTGTGAACTTGTCCAGATGTTTTTTGTTTATGTTGCTATTCTACAACTCAATGATATGTGTTAAATAATAGAAAAAGAAAATCGGCTCTCTAAATGTATAATACGGACACACGCGCACACGTACACATTTTGTAATTTGAAATTAACATTTTGACTGTAAATTCCGACCTTTATTCAGAGATTCATCATACATCAACAATATTGGTGTTTCTTTCAAATCAAAATTGATTGATAAGACTTTTTTTCTCAGTTTATCAAGGATTTCCATCATGTAAAAAGTTAACGCCAACAAAAATTGATTTGTAACTGAAAACAGATCCCATTGATGGGAAAAAGAGGTGATAACAATGAAATGAATAGATCCTTAAAAAGAAGTGTTCGCAACAGGGTTCGTATATTCGCCTCTACACGTAGCACCCGCGACTTGTGTAGTTGTCATGACAACTGGATGTTTGTCTGCTGCTCAACACAGCACCCAATATGGTTGTTGTAGATGGATGCGGTTGTATATACACTGGTGTGTGTGTTGTAGATGGATGGGGTAGTATATACACTGGTGTGTGTGTTGTAGATGGATTCGGTTGTATATACACTGGTGTGTGTGTTGTAGATGGATGGGGTAGTATATACACTAGTGTGTGTGTTGTAGATGGATTCGGTTGTATATACACTGGTGTGTGTGTTGTAGATGGATGGGGTAGTATATACACTAGTGTGTGTGTTGTAGATGGATGCGGTAGTATATACACTGGTGTGTGTGTTGTAGATGGATGGGGTAGTATATACACTGGTGTGTGTGTTGTAGATGGATTCGGTTGTATATACACTGGTGTGTGTGTTGTAGATGGATGGGGTAGTATATACACTGGTGTGTGTGTTGTAGATGGATTCGGTTGTATATACACTGGTGTGTGTGTTGTAGATGGATGGGGTAGTATATACACTAGTGTGTGTGTTGTAGATGGATGCGGTAGTATATACACTGGTGTGTGTGTTGTAGATGGATGGGGTAGTATATACACTGGTGTGTGTGTTGTAGATGGATGCGGTAGTATATACACTGGTGTGTGTGTTGTAGATGGATGCGGTAGTATATACACTGGTGTGTGTGTTGTAGATGGATGGGGTAGTATATACACTGGTGTGTGTTGTAGATGGATGCGGTAGTATATACACTGGTGTGTGTGTTGTAGATGGATGTGGTAGTATATACACTGGTGTGTGTGTGTTGTAGATGGATGCGGTAGTATATACACTGGTGTGTGTTGTAGATGGATGCGGTTGTATATACGCTGGTGTGTGTGTTGTAGATGGATGTGGTAGTATATACACATGGCTGTAGACAGTTGTAGACACATGGGGTAGTATATACGCTGGTGTGTGTGTTGTAGATGGATGTGGTAGTATATACACATGGCTGTAGACAGTTGTAGACACATGGGGTAGTATATACACTGGTGTGTGTGTTGTAGATGGATGGGGTAGTATATACACTGGTGTGTGTGTTGTAGATGGATGCGGTAGTATATACACTGGTGTGTGTGTTGTAGATGGATGTGGTAGTATACCAACTGGTGTGTGTGTGTTGTAGATGGATGTGGTAGTATATACACTGGTGTGTGTGTTGTAGATCGATGTGGTAGTATACCAACTGGTGTGTGTGTGTTGTAGATGGATGTGGTAGTATATACACTGGTGTGTGTGTTGTAGATGGATGGGGTAGTATATACACTGGTGTGTGTTGTAGATGGATGCGGTAGCATATACACTGGTGTGTGTGTTGTAGATGGATGCGGTAGTATATACACTGGTGTGTGTGTTGTAGATGGATGCGGTTGTATATACACTGGTGTGTGTGTTGTAGATGGATGGGGTAGTATATACACTGGTGTGTGTGTTGTAGATGGATGCGGTAGTATATACACTGGTGTGTGTGTTGTAGATGGATGGGGTAGTATATACACTGGTGTGTGTGTTGTAGATGGATGGGGTAGTATATACACTGGTGTGTGTGTTGTAGATGGATGCGGTAGTATATACACTGGTGTGTGTGTTGTAGATGGATGCGGTAGTATATACACTGGTGTGTGTGTTGTAGATGGATTGGGTAGTATATACATTGGTGTGTGTGTTGTAGATGCATGAGGTAGTATATACACTGGTGTGTGTGTTGTAGATGGATGCGGTTGTATATACACTGGTGTGTGTGTTGTAGATGGATGGGGTAGTATATACACTGGTGTGTGTGTGTTGTAGATGGATGCGGTAGTATATACACTGGTGTGTGTGTTGTAGATGGATGGGGTAGTATATACACTGGTGTGTGTGTGTTGTAGATGGATGGGGTAGTATATACACTGGTGTGTGTGTTGTAGATGGATGGGGTAGTATATACACATCACTGTGGGTTGTTGTAGATGGAAGCGGTAGTATATACACTGGTGTGTGTGTTGTAGATGGATGTGGTAGTATATACACTGGTGTGTGTGTTGTAGATGGATGTGGTAGTATATACACTGGTGTGTGTGTTGTAGATGGATGGGGTAGTATATACACTGGTGTGTGTGTTGTAGATGGATGGGGTAGTATATACACTGGTGTGTGTGTTGTAGATGGATGGGGTAGTATATACACATCACTGTGGGTTGTTGTAGATGGATGCGGTAGTATATACACATCACTGTGGGTTGTTGTAGATGGATGGGGTAGTATATACACATCACTGTGGGTTGTTGTAGATGGATGCGGTAGTATATACACATCACTGTGGGTTGTTGTAGATGGATGCGGTAGTATATACACTGGTGTGTGTGTTGTAGATGGATGGGGTAGTATATACACATCACTGTGGGTTGTTGTAGATGGATGCGGTAGTATATACACTGGTGTGTGTGTTGTAGATGGATGCGGTAGTATATACACTGGTGTGTGTGTTGTAGATGGATGGGGTAGTATATACACTGGTGTGTGTGTTGTAGATGGATTCGGTTGTATATACACTGGTGTGTGTGTTGTAGATGGATGGGGTAGTATATACACTGGTGTGTGTGTTGTAGATGGATGGGGTAGTATATACACATCACTGTGGGTTGTTGTAGATGGATGCGGTAGTATATACACATCACTGTGGGTTGTTGTAGATGGATGCGGTAGTATATACACTGGTGTGTGTGTTGTAGATGGATGGGGTAGTATATACACATCACTGTGGGTTGTTGTAGATGGATGCGGTAGTATATACACTGGTGTGTGTGTTGTAGATGGATGCGGTAGTATATACACTGGTGTGTGTGTTGTAGATGGATGGGGTAGTATATACACTGGTGTGTGTGTTGTAGATGGATTCGGTTGTATATACACTGGTGTGTGTGTTGTAGATGGATGGGGTAGTATATACACTGGTGTGTGTGTTGTAGATGGATGGGGTAGTATATACACTGGTGTGTGTGTTGTAGATGGATGGGGTAGTATATACACATCACTGTGGGTTGTTGTAGATGGATGGGGTAGTATATACACTGGTGTGTGTGTTGTAGATGGATGCGGTAGTATATACACTGGTGTGTGTGTTGTAGATGGATGGGGTAGTATATACACTGGTGTGTGTGTTGTAGATGGATGGGGTAGTATATACACTGGTGTGTGTGTGTTGTAGATGGATGCGGTAGTATATACACTGGTGTGTGTGTTGTAGATGGATGGGGTAGTATATACACTGGTGTGTGTGTTGTAGATGGATGGGGTAGTATATACACTGGTGTGTGTGTTGTAGATGGATGGGGTAGTATATACACTGGTGTGTGTGTTGTAGATGGATGGGGTAGTATATACACTGGTGTGTGTGTTGTAGATGGATGCGGTTGTATATACACTGGTGTGTGTGTTGTAGATGGATGCGGTAGTATATACACTGGTGTGTGTGTTGTAGATGGATGGGGTAGTATATACACTGGTGTGTGTGTTGTAGATGGATGGGGTAGTATATACACTGGTGTGTGTGTTGTAGATGGATGGGGTAGTATATACACTGGTGTGTGTGTTGTAGATGGATGGGGTAGTATATACACTGGTGTGTGTGTTGTAGATGGATGCGGTTGTATATACACTGGTGTGTGTGTTGTAGATGGATGTGGTAGTATATACACTGGTGTGTGTTGTAGATGGATGCGGTAGTATATACACTGGTGTGTGTGTTGTAGATGGATGCGGTAGTATATACGCTGGTGTGTGTGTTGTAGATGGATGCGGTAGTATATACACTGGTGTGTGTGTTGTAGATGGATGGGGTAGTATATACACTGGTGTGTGTGTTGTAGATGGATGGGGTAGTATATACACTGGTGTGTGTGTTGTAGATGGATGGGGTAGTATATACACTGGTGTGTGTGTTGTAGATGGATGGGGTAGTATATACACTGGTGTGTGTGTTGTAGATGGATGGGGTAGTATATACACTGGTGTGTGTGTTGTAGATGGATGTGGTAGTATATACACTGGTGTGTGTGTTGTAGATGGATGGGGTAGTATATACACTGGTGTGTGTGTTGTAGATGGATGGGGTAGTATATACACTGGTGTGTGTGTTGTAGATGGATGGGGTAGTATATACACTGGTGTGTGTGTTGTAGATGGATGCGGTAGTATATACACATCACTGTGGGTTGTTGTAGATGGATGGGGTAGTATATACACTGGTGTGTGTTGTAGATGGATGCGGTAGTATATACACTGGTGTGTGTGTTGTAGATGGATGGGGTAGTATATACACTGGTGTGTGTGTTGTAGATGGATGGGGTAGTATATACACATCACTGTGGGTTGTTGTAGATGGATGGGGTAGTATATACACATCACTGTGGGTTGTTGTAGATGGATGGGGTAGTATATACACTGGTGTGTGTGTGTTGTAGATGGATGGGGTAGTATATACACTGGTGTGTGTGTTGTAGATGGATGCGGTAGTATATACACTGGTGTGTGTGTTGTAGATGGATGGGGTAGTATATACACTGGTGTGTGTGTTGTAGATGGATGGGGTAGTATATACACTGGTGTGTGTGTTGTAGATGGATGGGGTAGTATATACACTGGTGTGTGTGTTGTAGATGGATGGGGTAGTATATACACTGGTGTGTGTGTTGTAGATGGATGCGGTAGTATATACACATCACTGTGGGTTGTTGTAGATGGATGGGGTAGTATATACACTGGTGTGTGTGTTGTAGATGGATGTGGTAGTATATACACTGGTGTGTGTGTTGTAGATGGATGGGGTAGTATATACACTGGTGTGTGTGTTGTAGATGGATGGGGTAGTATATACACTGGTGTGTGTGTTGTAGATGGATGGGGTAGTATATACACTGGTGTGTGTGTTGTAGATGGATGCGGTAGTATATACACATCACTGTGGGTTGTTGTAGATGGATGGGGTAGTATATACACTGGTGTGTGTGTTGTAGATGGATGGGGTAGTATATACACATCACTGTGGGTTGTTGTAGATGGATGCGGTTGTATATACACTGGTGTGTGTGTTGTAGATGGATGCGGTAGTATATACACTGGTGTGTGTGTTGTAGATGGATGGGGTAGTATATACACATCACTGTGGGTTGTTGTAGATGGATGGGGTAGTATATACACATCACTGTGGGTTGTTGTAGATGGATGCGGTTGTATATACACTGGTGTGTGTGTTGTAGATGGATGCGGTAGTATATACACTGGTGTGTGTGTTGTAGATGGATGCGGTAGTATATACACTGGTGTGTGTGTTGTAGATGGATGCGGTAGTATATACACATCACTGTGGGTTGTTGTAGATGGATGGGGTAGTATATACACATCACTGTGGGTTGTTGTAGATGGATGTGGTAGTATATACACATCACTGTGGGTTGTTGTAGATGGATGGGGTAGTATATACACATCACTGTGGGTTGTTGTAGATGGATGCGGTAGTATATACACTGGTGTGTGTGTTGTAGATGGATGGGGTAGTATATACACATCACTGTGGGTTGTTGTAGATGGATGCGGTAGTATATACACATCACTGTGGGTTGTTGTAGATGGATGCGGTAGTATATACACATCACTGTGGGTTGTTGTAGATGGATGCGGTAGTATATACACATCACTGTGGGTTGTTGTAGATGGATGCGGTAGTATATACACATCACTGTGGGTTGTTGTAGATGGATGCGGTAGTATATACACATCACTGTGGGTTGTTGTAGATGGATGGGGTAGTATATACACATCACTGTGGGTTGTTGTAGATGGATGTGGTAGTATATACACTGGTGTGTGTGTTGTAGATGGATGCGGTAGTATATACACTGGTGTGTGTGTTGTAGATGGATGGGGTAGTATATACACTGGTGTGTGTGTTGTAGATGGATGCGGTAGTATATACACTGGTGTGTGTGTTGTAGATGGATGCGGTAGTATATACACTGGTGTGTGTGTTGTAGATGGATGGGGTAGTATATACACTGGTGTGTGTGTTGTAGATGGATGCGGTAGTATATACACTGGTGTGTGTGTTGTAGATGGATGCGGTAGTATATACACTGGTGTGTGTGTTGTAGATGGATGCGGTAGTATATACACTGGTGTGTGTGTTGTAGATGGATGTGGTAGTATATACACTGGTGTGTGTGTTGTAGATGGATGCGGTAGTATATACACTGGTGTGTGTGTTGTAGATAGATGTGGTAGTATACCCACTGGTGTGTGTGTTGTAGATGGATGTGGTAGTATACCCACTGGTGTGTGTGTTGTAGATGGATGTGGTAGTATATACACTGGTGTGTGTGTTGTAGATGGATGTGGTAGTATATACACTGGTGTGTGTGTTGTAGATGGATGTGGTAGTATATACACTGGTGTGTGTGTTGTAGATGGATGTGGTAGTATACCCACCAGTGTGTGTGTTGTAGATGGATGTGGTAGTATACCCACTGGTGTGTGTGTTGTAGATGGATGTGGTAGTATACCCACCAGTGTGTGTGTTGTAGATGGATGTGGTAGTATACCCACTGGTGTGTGTGTTGTAGATACATGGGGTAGTATACCCACTGGTGTGTGTGTTGTAGATGGATGGGGTAGTATATACACTGGTGTGTGTGTTGTAGATGGATGGGGTAGTATATACACTGGTGTGTGTGTTGTAGATGGATGCGGTAGTATGTACACTGGTGTGTGTGTTGTAGATGGATGTGGTAGTATATACACTGGTGTGTGTGTTGTAGATGGATGCGGTAGTATATACACTGGTGTGTGTGTTGTAGATGGATGTGGTAGTATACCCACTGGTGTGTGTGTTGTAGATGGATGTGGTAGTATACCCACTGGTGTGTGTGTTGTAGATGGATGTGGTAGTATATACACTGGTGTGTGTGTTGTAGATGGATGTGGTAGTATATACACTGGTGTGTGTGTTGTAGATGGATGTGGTAGTATATACACTGGTGTGTGTGTTGTAGATAGATGTGGTAGTATATACACTGGTGTGTGTGTTGTAGATAGATGTGGTAGTATACCCACTGGTGTGTGTGTTGTAGATGGATGCGGTAGTATAAACACTGGTGTGTGTGTTGTAGATGGATGTGGTAGTATATACACTGGTGTGTGTGTTGTAGATGGATGTGGTAGTATATACACTGGTGTGTGTGTTGTAGATAGATGTGGTAGTATACCCACTGGTGTGTGTGTTGTAGATGGATGTGGTAGTATATACACTGGTGTGTGTGTTGTAGATGTATGTGGTAGTATATACACTGGTGTGTGTGTTGTAGATAGATGTGGTAGTATATACACTGGTGTGTGTGTTGTAGATAGATGTGGTAGTATACCCACTGGTGTGTGTGTTGTAGATGGATGCGGTAGTATAAACACATGGCTGTAGACAGTTGTAGACACATGGGGTAGTATATACACATCACTGTGGGTTGTTGTAGATGGATGCGGTATATACACACGAGTGTAGAGTGTTGTACATATACTGAGTCAAATCAAAAACCTTACATTTTAAAAGTAATCCCATATATGATATACTACGGACAAATGTAGAAGGTAATTTTTAATCATTAATGTCCAATGAAAGATTTTAATTAACGGTGGTAACCATAATTTGTTCCAAGCACCTACGGTATTCGGTGATAACATCAACAGTTTAAATCATATGTCCAAAGCACGAGAATCTGATGGCAGTAGCGTGTATGGCCACTATGTGCGTTGACAACTGCCACACAACGCCTCCGCATGGACCTTGTGATGCTTGTGAACACATGATTGGAAGGGCGACGCCATTGTTGCTGCAAAATGGTGCCAAGATCTTGCAAATTCTGTGGTTGGTTCTGGAGAGTGCGCAGACTTCTGCCAAGAGCATCCCAGACGTGTTCGTTGCACATTTGAAAGGCGTGGCATGACAAATTGCCGTAAAGACTTTTGTTTTCTTGTGTTTTTCTTTTTTTGTTAATGACTGCTAACAAGTATGGCTGAAAACACGTGCGGTATTATGGCCACTTGACCAGTTGCACTCGAAAAACCACTTTTGGCACTATAGTGCTGTGCACATGATTTTGATCGATTCACCTGCACAAAAACGGGTGTTATCTGAAGACAATACGTGGCCATTACTGTTTAAATACACAATAAGGGCCAACAATGATAACTGGTCAAAATGTTAAAATTTTAGGATTGTGAAGTTTTTAATTTGGTTCAGTATACATACGGTTGAGGGGATACCTTGCGTTGTGTAGTGAGCCTCAGTCAAACATCTATCCCGCACTGAGAGACTTAGGGGGGGCATGTTCTCGAAGCTTACTCATTGATCCCACGACTAACACGTAATTGAAATGCCAGATCTGTAATCATCTCAGAAATTGAACCATGAACAATATGAATCAAATCTCTCATGGAAAAATATATCATAATTTTTAAATGTTATAATAATAACCAATCTCAATTATTCACTTTCACAGATGCCATTGAGAGTAAAAGCAAAACAGCAGTGGAAAGTACATGAATAGACAACTGAAAATCAGTGATGACACCGAGTTGTCGCGAAAAGGGTAGACATTTCCTGCCTTAACAAATGTATAATTGCAATATAGAATAAAAGCGACAGATCTCTTTGATCGAAAATCTCTGCTTAAAGCACAGTTGATCGAACGATGATGAATATATCATGAGCATGTGTTTATATATCACTTTCAAATAGCGACGTCCCCAGGTGTTCGCAAAACGGTGAGCGCATCATGCCCCACCTGGTGGCATCTGTCACAAACACTTGCAAAGGCAAGTCAGTTGTTCACTCGAAAAATAACACATTATATGGAGTAACGTTAGGTATCAATCACGTACATATAATAAATTGTAAATTGGGGCAGTGATCAGTACAAAAACAAAGTCTGTATCATATCATATTACTAATTACTAATTACATATTTGACTACACAGACACAGCTGTCCAGGTCACAGCATGTCAACAACCAAACGCCGGAGTAATGAGCCATACAGTTCAACCAAAGGCAAACTCATCCGTGAACGCAAGTCAATATAAATGGCAAATCAAGAGGATTTCTTTTCTGATCATGGTGCAAAATAAACATATGATATCTAACTTATCAAACAGTTTATGTCTAAAACAACAAATCACAATCAGCAGTAAAACAGTATTTACCCCTGAGACGGCGCCTGGAAAAAATTATCGAGCCTTGCGCCTTGAGCCTTGATCAAACATTTCAGTGACAGAGCCTGGTTACTCCAAGACAGTGTATCAAATTGTCTTACAGCGATAAACATATGAGATGTGAGAAACAAGCTTGTATGGCGTTATTGCAACTTACTGAGATGGCTACATAGGACAAGATCCGTCCATCTCAGAACCCGTTTGACGTGATACTGTTTTATTTTTGGCTTTCACGATTCACGGGATATTTAGGGCATATGCTACACAAACACAAAACGAGGATGTGTATCTTGATACGCAAAAGAAACAGTTCATCGCATCACAGTGGTATTTCGAGAAGTACATTTATGAAATGCATAACAAAACGATATTGCATGTACTTTGTAACCTAAACCTTGGTACATTCAGGCTTCATACATCCGTGAACCCCTGCTTTACAACCCCGACAGCATAACATCTTGTTATTTGATGCCGCCTGTCTGGGTCATGTTCCCCGTAACCATGAGGCTTCCAATGGCGCCAGTATTTCACAACAAGTGCACATGTTGACATACACAAATCAATGAAGCCTGTATCTGAAGTTAAATGAAGCGTGTACACTATTTGATCTTTGAAACAAACTTACAACAAGTCTTGGAAAAAAGGTTACTGTGACATGTTTCAACAAAAGTATCACGTGTTAACCTAGGTTACAAAGTACATTCATTTCATTACTCCGAATATTGTTATCAACAATCCATTTCCTGTCAGGGAGTACAGACAATTATAGGAGTTCCCAAAGTGTGAGACATTATCCTGGCTGGGAAAGGTGTATATGTTCATCAGTGTATAATAACATTTGAACCATTTGGGGAATCCTGGTCTTTTGCATGAGTGAGTGAGTGAGTTGGATTTAACGCCGCTTTTAACATTATTCCAGTCACATCACGGCGTGTCAGCTTAATGTAGGAGGAAAGCCCCAAGTGACGCAGGTCTCAGACGTTTACCACTTCGGTGAAACCCACGAGCACGGATATGGTGCTGACAAACCTAGAAGCATAATCGGGGCGAACCGGGATTCGAACCCACAATCATAGGTTTCTGGCGTGTCAAAGGGACGCAACTCTGCACAGCGAATCGCGGCGACTTACACGACTGGGCCACCCGTGCCCCCTCTTTGGCATGACAATCCGATCCCATTTCATGGCCTCTTCACAATCAGCTTTGACATACTTCCACCGATGTTACCTTTGGTGTTGAATAGTCACGTCCATTGAAGATTATTATATCATTGCGCCAAATCATTTGTATATTTTAAAGTTTTGACAATAAGAATAATATACAATGTAAGCTCATATGTACGTTATAAAATCAAATCAAATCAATTCCGCACACTGGTGGGCCACACATTCAGGCCTGGAGGTGTAGCTTACTTATAACAATTGTTGATTCGTCCTAGTAATTTCCACTATCGATTCCCCCCCATCCTAATACTGCTTGGAAACGAATACAAGGGGCAAACGATATCGCCTCTGTAGGAACGTCACACCACTGTGTGCTAATCAACGGCAACCAGATCCAGAGAGTTGGGTGAGGCCACCCCCTTCCTTGAAAACCAAATGTAGCATCTTATCAATCGTTTCAATCAGTGGTTAATTACTTATATTATTTGTACATTATACAAGATTTTAAAAAATGTATCTCCCACACTGTGCATCTTCCATTACGTGTTATAATGATGTAATATAGGTGTGATATATGGTACGATGATATGTATGGTATGTTATGATATGATAATGGTATATGAAATAATACTATATAGTATGATCTTATAATAATGATACAATATGATATGATATTATAGAATATGTCGTATGTTATATGAAATTACAGGGTATGGTATTGTACTCTATGTGTGAAATTATGTGACTGTGTTGAGATGCGAGGTGGAATGACGTGAGGTGATTTGGTGAGATATGTACATAAATTGTATAAAATTGTTTATTCTTCAAATTGTACTATAGGCCTGTTGCCTCTTCAGTACGTGAAATAAAGATTAGACATGTAAGATTAAAATATGTATCTCCCCCACTTAGTCGAATCCGGGGGAAAACATGCTGTGTATTCAGGATATTTGCAATGTGGCAAAACACAGCGTAACCATTTATGTTGTCGTATTCATAATCGTTTCAGCTGTATACAATTCAATTAATAGCCATAGATGCAACTGCCTACCCATGTCCACCGGTGCGTGAACAACACATCTTATTCACGCTCAACCAGAACGATCTAATAGTTCGACAGAATATCACCTCCCATGTTCCCTTGAAAACAACCCTGAACGAGAAATGTTAGAACGCAGTATCACGTGTGTGTAAATAGCCACTGCATTCAAGGGCGTCAGCTCGACCGAGATAATCCTGCACAGATGGTAGGTTGCTTAACTACTATATAGACTGTTTGTTGTTGAGATATATTTTAGGTTTGGTTATGAATGAATATGTAGATTGTTAAATGTCAGTGTAATTTTTAAACAATGATTGCAACATTATTTCTGTTCCGATTCAGTAGTAGTTCACTGCTATTTGATGTAAGCAACGAAAGTCTCATCTCACATTTCACCGGACATTACATAACGACCAGTTTTTGTGTGAACCACACATATCACCCCAGATGCAGTCATGTGTATTGATTACACCCAGTTAATTAGGAGATAAACATACTGTGTTTTCAATGTAGAGCTAGGTTACCTGTAGATTTAACCGCACCAAATTGAATTTGGAACTGAACGCGCAGCGTGAGGTTTCAAATGTTAATTTCAGCGCGCTTGAGACGAAGATGCATGTACATGCAACATATATTATTGGACAGTTTATCTCAATTCTACCATGGCGAAATTTGGAGCGAATCCATTTTGAAAGAAAAGGATTGAGATGGCGAAAGAGGTGTTTCTGCCAATCTATGCAAAAGTATATTCACAGGTGATGGCCCAAGTCTGAAACCAACTGAAAGAAGTGGCACATTAGAGCCCTACTCTCTGGCATGCACACGAATTAATATGCTGAGAATCACAACCTACAAATACTTATATCATCACTTCAATTTATGTAATGGCTGTGAATCCTGTCTCATAAGTATAAGGTCTGCAATGCTGTTGCTGAAATAAACCATGTATTCAAATGGAGATATATTGTTATTTGAATCCTCTGACCAATCAACCACAATTGTTGTTTTCAAACACATGGAAGTTAGAAACTAAAATCAAACGATTTTACAATGTGTTCATTATACCATGCAATTTACCTCATCAGTTAGGAATATACGTAGCACTGGTGTTTTTATATTCACGTTTGTCTTCCAGTTTTAAGAAATTGAAGAAATCAGTATTCAATTCAATTCAATCCTTTATTGTTTGAAAAGCCACAGGCCCACATTCAGCGGAGTAACATAACATATTTTATAAGATACAAAGTCAAGGTATCAATTCACTTCGTAACAAAAACGCATGATGTATGTACAAAGCCAGTTGATTTTGTGTTAGAAGATCCTTGCAGGACAGTAATGAAGGCAATGTTATATCATTAAAATGAGATAAAGACCACTGCAGTAAGTACTTGCTCCTTAGATTTTCGTATATAGAGCAAATAAACATAAAATGCTATTCAGCTTCGACAACACTGTCACAGAACGGGCATAACCTTAGGAATTTCTAAGATGAAAATCTCCTTGTGTTAATTTTTATTTCATTCAGGCCAAGTCTAAAACGAATAATGATGCTACAAAATTCCTGTACCGTAGGTTTGATGAATAAGATTATGTGTGAAGCAATGACTTGAACTGGCGATAAGTATCATATCTTGAACTTTTGTAAATATCTGTATGTCATATCTGATGAAACATATCACTGGCACGCATGCGAAAGTGCTAAATGAATACATTTGTGTTACCAATTGTCTGGGAGAGCTAAATGAAACCAAAGCAATATGTAAAAAGCAAGGTACATATACAAGAAGCCCATGTGTTCTTTCCAAGACTATCGAGATTTACAAGCATATCGTAGGCTTTGTTGTAAAGTTGTAAACGGTGTTCAGTCATAATTATTATTTTACACCAATACTTCTAGCAACGAGTGTAAGATATACTGTACAATGGGAACCTCCCGCATTCTCCATAAACCAAATTACTTGGTGTTGACATACCAACCTTCAAAAACGTTTTACAAGCGGGAAGATAAACCTTTTCAATTGAAAAGAACTCTTTACCCATATAGTTAAATAGGTTGTATTTGAGAATCAAATAATTTCAAATATGTGTTTGCAGTAGCTCCAAGCTTAGAGATAACAGAGTGGACTTGTAACAGAGCTTTCTTTGCGCTGTTTGTGAGATTAATTACAGACTTATTCAGATTCAGTGTATGGGTAAACAATATGCCAAGGTATTTGTATTCATTCACAACATTAATACATTTACCTTTAAACAAACATTTCTCTCTTGCGGCCACTCGACCACCTCTACGAAATAACAGTATTTGTTTTATCAAGATTAACACTAAGTTTCCATTTATCTGAATATTGCGAAAGTATGTCAAGCTGCTTCTGTAGACCAATAACAGTACTAGACATCAAAATCATATCATCTGCAAAAAGTAGCATGAAAAGTTCTACTATGTCAGGGAAGAGCTGGACGCCATGTCTACCAGACTGCATGATATCAACATATAACTCATTAATGAAAAAATAAGAAAGTATAGGTCTTGAAACACATCCTTAGCGTAAGCCTTTTAGTATCACCATAGCGAAACACATGATTTTTACATTTGCATACATTGATTTAACAATGACAAGCATTTTGCCTCCCAAACCCTTATTTTTCAAACAATTTAGCTCTATTTACAGGCGCAAAGGCCTTTTTAAAATCAACAAAGGGCACTTACAACTTACATAAATATTTGTTCAAAAGTCGATTAATTCTTTCTAAGTCCCGCTTGAGTGTCAGGGATCAAAACTCCCATATTCCACCCCAGTGCTAATCTATAATTGATGATAGACGTAAATGCTTTACCAAGAATACTAGTGAGAGATATACCCCTGTAATTGTCAGGATTGTTTACGTTTCCATTCTTGAATAATGGCATAATAATAGAAGGAAAAGCACCTGTATAAAACATCTGATTGAAACATATGTCAGGCATATTGAGGCATAATATCAGGTAATCAGTCCTTAAACATTTCAGCTATAACACAATCAACCCCAGCAGATTTACGTGTTTTAAAGTGAGATATCGCATTAAATATTTCCGTTCCCGTGATTCCAACAGAAGCATGCCAATATCACTAAAAGTTTCAATGACGCCATTATTATCATGTTCAAAGGCCTCATTGTCTACAAAATATACAGAATCGTCATTTGAGAATAACTTCTTGAAATGATATAACAATTCTGTTTGGGATATAGATCCTCTGGGGGTAGAATGTCTGTGAAGAGAACGTATAGTGTTCCAAAATAATTTCGGACTGTAAAGTGCTGTTTAGCCGAACTAACCGTGGCGATTTTAGATGATATTTGAACTTTCTACAAAAGGTTTTATACACATTTCTCAGTTTACAGTAGCTTTTTCTGTTGTGTTCACTGTGACGACACCTACACCTTCTGAGAGCCTTTCTGGATTCACATCTTGCTGCCCTACATGCTATATTCAACTTTGGTTTATCGTGTTTATTTTTACCATACATAGTTTGTTTCTTCATACAGGACGCCAAGTCCAGAACCTACCGTACCAAATATGTAATCCCCTCCTCCACATTAGCTTCAATTTGATCGATCAAAGAATTTTCATGAATATGCAAGGACCCTCTCAGTGTTGTGATAAAAATACTTTCCTTCGATTCGTTCCATGAAAATGTACTATTCATAGAGTGAGTGAGTGAGTGAGTATGGTTTTACGCCGCTTTTAGCAATATTCCAGCAATATTACGGCGGGGGACACCAGAAATGGGCTTCACACATTGTACCCATGTCGAACCCGGGTCTTCGGCGTGACGAGCGAACGCTTTAACCACTAGGCTACCCGACCGCCCTATTCATAGAGACAGTATGTTGCCTGAAGTGTCTTCTGATAATGGCATGCATTTATTATGATAGTTTTTAGTTTTCGATGACACCTTGATGATACGGTTTGAGTTAAGGTTGAAGAGCATTAATTTCTAAAAGACCGAAGATACGAGTGCATACATATTGGAATGGTCTTGCATTCACTGGGTACACATATATACCATTGCCAAAAAACATAGCATGGCAGCGGATATGAATACTAGGACGTTTCGGTTGACTGATGAATCATCATACATGTTCTTCTGAAGTTTAAAATCAATCATCTTCTCTACTTGGTCAGCTGTAGAGGTGAGGATTCTGTCAAGAGCTCTCAGGTGAAGCAGCTTGGTGTTGGTGTCTGTTTCTGTTTCCGTCACATAATTCTTGACGTAACTGATGGCGTATGCTGGAATGCCTGTTTGGTCTGACATCGTCTTCACAGCTTCCTGTACTAGAGGTGATTTGTACAGGTTGGGGATGTTTCCTGGGTCCTTGAACTGCGGGTCACACTCATCCAGATGAGTCAGCACCAGGTGGTAGGACAGGGCTGAAGCAAAATACACCTGATCATTACCCAAATAAAGACTCTATAGTGTCTTGTACTGACCGTCAAAAGAACGTCCTCACTCATTTTCCATGGATCATTTTTGAAAACTTTTTATCTTTATATGAAGCCTCTTTTTATAGCTGGAATATTCTAGGTATGAAACAAGACGTAAATAACCTGAACAGTGATTTTGGTACATGACAGGTGTTGATGTTTTTTATAAACTGTTTACCAAAACGGCTTTACCTCTCACATACATATGAGGATTGAGACATTGTCAAGTGACAATAAGAAATCAAACAGTCAAATTCCAATACAAATGATTCAATGTTACACAGGTATTTTAAACCTTACCACAAACTCCAAATGACATTGACCTATAATAATATAATAATATTATCTATTCATATGTTAGAAATTTTATCCCGTGGTATGTAGGAGGCATTACATATTCTGTGGTTTACAGCAGGTGCATCAGTCAGATGCAACCAAACACTTAAGGAAACTCCCTTTACTGGATGCTGCCAAATTAGAAAGCCAGATTACCCACACAGTTTCACAATGGAAACAAAGTCAGTCTTTAAGGGCAACATCAGTCTTAACTTACCACCTTCTCCCCCTCTTCGTATGATGGCATTTAGTTGACGCTTCAATTCGTCACCCAGAGCGAGTCCATGGTGGAGAACCAGCACAACACATGATACGTCCCTTCGTGCCTCTTGCAGGTTGCCCTTCGCGTCAAGAGTTTTTGTTATCTTGAAACAAACAAATGGATATGAATCACAGTAGTATAATGAAGGTTGATTACATAACTATATGTTGCTATATAAGTGCAATAAGAGCGCGACGTTAAACGACATTACAGCTCATTTCACATAAATATATATTTCAGTATTTACTTCGACCATATCCTTAATATTAAGCTAATGATGGTACTTAGTAGTGTTTACCTGGGCATCAAAGCGAACCCTGCCAGACACAATGTCTTCAATATTCTCCGTTTTGAGATCACTGGATTCAAATATTCCTGGCATGTCAATAATCCAGTGAGGTCCATATTGTGAAGCCTGAAACTGTAATTATGGTTGTTATTCCAATGGACTAACAACACGGGCAAAACAAGTTAATGAAATGCTATTTCCAGTATGTGTTGGAATTCAAGTTCTGGACATGCTACAGGTGGGACAGGATATGCTCACCTTTTCGTGAATACCATATATTTACACAGTCATGTTCATGTTATAGTCGGAATCAATCCTACAGTCAACTGTTGGAAGATATTTCTGATGAATATTGATCTTTTTTGGTCGCGAAATTTAGACCTACAGTGGAAGTGCATAAATAATTATAAAGTTTGGTGACAGAAATATCATTAGAACATAGTTGAACTCAACACCAGGAATCAATAGTCACCTCAACACAGAATAGATTATGAAAGAAGAGGTATTTTATTGAATGGAATGGAAATGTTTATGAAATTACCAAGAGTAATCAGTAAATGAACAGTTAGGATAATTTCAGACTTGTGGAAAAGGGAAAGTACACACACTGCCAGTAAGTGAACTGCCGATACTACCAACTGCGTAGTAGTTTGCAGGTGTGGCAGAATCCTTCAGTGCTGCTCTTAGGCCATTGCAGAAGGATGACTTTCCAGTACCGCTGGGACCAAATATCAGGATCTTCCCATGTATCAGCCTCCCTCCCTTGTCATACTTGTGTTCATGAAACTTGTCTCGGAGTCGTTGAACCTCCTGCAGGGTACATAAATGAAAGCAAGATAAGATAAGTATTTAAATATGTGTGACCTAAACAGAGGGCTGTTCAACCCTATGCAAGAGTTTGATTATGATATTTTGCTTTCTCTCATTTTTTCAAAGCAGGCAAATGTTTCGAAATTGATACCTGTGATGTCCAGACTGTTCTTTCAGTATTCTTTGGCCCCCATGCAAACTGCTGCAAATGTAAAAGCAAGAATCTAAGAACATGAAAATCATCATTCTTCAAAGGTTCATGCGGATACATATGGCGTCGAACTCATGTATCACACAGTATATTTTAACATGACCTGTTCTTCCCCGGATCTTCATGGGTTCATCTGACTGAACCTTTTGGGGGCATCATATGAGTACTAGCCTCGGTGTTGGTCTTGACAATATTTAGGAGGAATCACTTACATCCCTGGAACATTACTTCCCAAATGAAGCTGCCACAGCAATGGACCTAGTGTATATATCATAATCTATAAGTCCTAAAACATTGCATGTTTATTGTAAGTATTTGTAACATTACATAGGAATTTTCAAATATTGAAAACACCGCGCATACAAACCACACATGTGGAACTCATGGCACACATGTATACTTGTTGTAAATACTCTCACATATATTATGCTGATTTTCATACAGTGAGCTGTTCATCTGGTTACATCGGTATTTCAAAGTTTTGATTGTCAGCGTTATTCAACTCTTGTGGCAAGCAAACAATTCCTTGCAATGTCTGGGGCGGTCGGGTAGCCCTGTGGTTAAGATGTTCTCTCAACACACCGAAGAAGCGGGTTCGATTCTCATCAAGGGTACAATGTGTGAAGCCCATTTCTGGTGTGTGTCCTTGGCCAACATACTGTTTGAATGTTGCTAAAATCAGCATAAACCAAACTCACTCACATTGCAATGTCTGAGCCTCAAAGGAAGTTTGATAAGCATTAAAATATTCACAACTTTTCAATTTTTGAGGTCGGACGAAAATTGTCAAACATGACACATCAGTCACCACACAGTGTCAAATGCAAAGTCTCTATGTTGACTTGAACCATATATTCCCGTGTTTGTTTTCATGTGAACACTTTATTTGCCTTTGTGTGGTTTTCTAAAGGTTTCCACTGGTGGAGCAGAAGAAAAAATAAAGACGCTTAATATGATTATGGATAGGATTTTCTAGTATGGTAGTATATAACACACGTCTGTTTATATAGGCATCAACAATGTCTTTGTAAAGACTGTTCGAATATAACTCATAGAGGCCTACTTAACCTGTCGGACATCTGTTTAGGAATTGAGATTCATTTTGTTGCAATTTCACACTTACCATTAAACATGCATCTCTCCTTTTCTTTTCCTCTCTCTCATCCTGAAGTCGTTGTTTTTCTTTCTGAACAGATTCCATCTTAAGATTCATCCCCTCAATCTGTCCTGCTGTAGTTGATGATTTTCTGGCTTCTTTTTCTGCACGTTCTATTGCCTTTTCTGCTCTCTCTCTGTGTCGCTTGGTCATTTCCAGCGCCTCAAGCGCTCTTAGGTGTTCCTCTTGGGCTTTTTCTTCAGCTTGGTGAGCTCTTTTCCCACTTACCATTGCCTCTTGCTTTAATTTTTCAGCGGCCATCCTTTCTGTTTCAGCACGTTCCCTTTCCATGTTTGCTCTTTGATTTTCCTTTTGGGCCTGTTGTTCAGCAAGTCTAGCTCTTGCTGAACTTATAGCTGCCTCTGCCTTTGCTTCTTCAGCAGCTCTCTTGTCCTTTTGGGCTTTTGCTTCAACTTCCGCAGCTCTTCTTGAAATTACATTTGCATCTGCCTTGGCTATAGCAGCATTCCTCCTTTCCTTTTCTGCACGTTCCCTTTCCTCATTTGCTCTTTGGTTGTCAATCCTGGCTTGTTCTTGCGCATGTCTAGCACTTATTGCACTTTCAATTGCTCCTGCCTTGGCTATATCAGCATCTCTCTTTTCCTGTGCTGCACGTTCCTTTTCCTCATTCGCTCGCCTGCTCTCAGCTCTCGCCGCCTCTTGTGCCTTGGCTAACTGTTTTAATGCATTTTTATTCAACTCAACAGTAAGCATTAGTCCACCTATGTATCATAACGACCTATGATAGTAATACAACTACGTGACTGGTGCAATATGTCATGCCATTAAAGCATGCTATGATCTGGACCTAGTCTAACCCTAGTACAATTCAATTTCAGGAAGTGTTTTGTTGAATTTATCATTTTGCTTCACAACTTTTATACATTACCATCTTGCTTTTTCATAAATCGCATGAAATACATTGTTTACAAGCAGCAGCTAATAGTTTGGGTATCAGTTGTACACAATTGATCATATAGTTTCATTTTGCTTCATTGTGTTATTGAGTCAATTTCATGCTTTTAGGTGAAAAATTATGAAGTTAAACATTTTTTATACAGCTTGTTTATCAATATATACAGAATGGGTAGATAAGGTATTGCTTATTGTGAATTTTGAAAACCTAGAGGAGATTCCGGAGAAAAATATGTCCATAAACATCAGGTCAACAGTTCATGCAAGTTGAAATTGATGCCCTGTATAAAGAGTAAAAAAGCTGTTTAAATGCATTAAAACGCCCTGTGCATCAAACTCAACATATACCTTTACTTTGCTCATTTTTATATTAAATGAAAATGACAGAACTCGCATCTTTTGTGATTATCTTCCCTCACTGAACAAAATAAATGGTTTCGAAAGAAACCTTAACTGTTACTTACCTCCTCGGCCGAAACTGCAAGGCAATCATATGGAAGTTGCAATTTGGTAAAGTGAGCACGTGTTATTTTTTTACATATTATTCACCACCAGTGTAAGTATTTTGGTTTCAAAAACTGTCAGTGAAATAAAAATCGGTTTTGAATTTCCATCGTTACCATCATATAGCCTGAAAGCGTCAATAATGATTGATAATATCTGGTTAAGATGATATGAACTCGTTGGGTAATACTTCTTTTGTGAATGGCAAGACAAGTGCACAGTAGCAATGAGTCAAGATATCAGATAGTTGTAGTGAATCACACAGTAAAGGTAATACAGCTGGAGCTATATAAAAAAAGCCAGGGGTAGCATGTAGTCCCTAGGTCCATAGTTTTATGATTTGAGTGACATGAAAGTATATGTATATTTACCATAGCCAAACCAGCTCATGCTTTATTGATATGCTGAAAAAGAGGCAGAATCGTTATTTGTCATGAGTCTATGTATATTCATGGTCACGTCTCCAAATGGACGATTTTGTGTTACTGTTTGTAGCATGTCCACGTGGGCTGATAATGTGATTTTCAGCAAGCTGAGGCATTGTGTAAGCTTAATTTATAGCTAAACAGTCACTGTTCAAATCAAAAACGACATGTGTGAGTATCATTCTCCCAACAAACACGAAAACATCCAAATTGGTCGCAATGCACATGCACATGCACATGCAAATTGTGAATCACCATGAGGTTGAGATATCTTTGTGATTACATACTGACTAATGTTTAGTTTCAGAATAAATCTATTTTCAGTAAACTTTATATGAAGCACAGTTTCTTGTTTTCCGTTTATATGTTTACAAATTAACAGCTATTCAAAAGTATGTTATAATAATATCCATAGATAAAAACAAACTGTTGACATGAGAAACAATAAACCTTTCTGAAGATGGATCGAGGTAAAAGACAGGGTTACATCTATTCCTTTTTAACTTCTCCAATGAAGGACAAGTTCAAGTGATAAGTTAACTTACGTTGTGATGCGGCCTGCAGGGAATAACACGTCGTACCAGCTGGGTGAACACACATTTACTGAAACAGGTTTCCAGGGGCGGCGGTATAATAGGACGATTTCTTCTATCTAGGTTGTATGCAGCACCTATCAAGCTGACAAACCTGATCGATGTGAAAGTTAAAGTCAACATCCAGTTGTTTCTGTTGCTTGGATGGTGAGTTGACGTAGTTGAGTTACATGCTTCAGTACTGTTTTTCATACAATCTATTAACTAAAAATGGTGGCTGAATATGTCACTAAGATATATCAGATGGAATCATTACACATTTGCTTAGAAAATAGCCTTTGTTCTCAACCAAGCAAAGTTTCCTGTGAAGCTTTGGTGTCATTAATTTTTAAAGACATAGTTGTCTCTAGTGCCTTTGTTGTCAACAGGGATGCATGAAGAAGCTCATGTTGTAATCCATAATACAATTTTATCTATAATCTGACATCTGTTAACTCTCATTGTACCCCAAGCAGCTGAAAGAACCTTTTACGTTCTCTTCATTGCATTTTTCGTTCTGCTTAAGTAACTGTGCATATATATACTAGCCACATAAAGAAAATGTGCACGAAGAAAATATATTCTGGATTGAAATACAACACAGCAAGAACAAAATGATGCAGACGCTGTAGCAGCTGATAATCGGACCATAAGAAAATGTCAACGGGACCTGAACAACATCTGTTATGATGACGCCAAAAGATCAAAATGGAGTAGGGGGTCAAACGACAAAGTCACAAAGTCAATAACAGGTATGACCACCCTGTGCGTGAATCACAGCAGTGCATCGGTGACGCATGGAGTCCACCAAATGGGCATGGAAGGCCTGGGGAATGGCCTGCCATATCCTCCTCAAATCCTGTGTCAAGTCATGGACGTTATCTTGAGGATGTGGAAGACGACGCAGACGGCGCTCCATTTCATCCCACAAATGCTCTATTGGGGAGAGATCTGGAGAATTTGCAGGCCATGGCAGTAACATGACATTGTTATGGTGAAGGAAATCCATTGCGACCCTAGCCGAGTGAGGACGAGCGTTGTCCTGTTGAAATGTCAATCCCGGGCCATGACGTCGCAGAAATAGGAAGGACCACAGGCCTCAGAATCTGATCGCTGTAGCCAACACCGGTGAGATTGCCCTGAGCAACCACCAAAGGGGTTCGGTGCCGTGCTGTTATCCCACCCCAAATCATCACAGAGCCACCTCCAAAACGATTCCTCTCCACAATACAGTTGCGTGCATAACGTTCTCCCGAACGCCGGTAGGCACGTTGGTGCCCGTCACTGTGGTAAATGTTGAACCTTGATTCATCTGTAAAGACAACATTTCTCCACCATATTCTAGGTTGGCGAACATGATTTCAACTCCATCTTAGAAGGTTGACTCGATGACGGTGTGTCAGGATGGGACGTATGGCAGGGCGTCGTGGTCGAATCCCGTACTGACGTAAACGATTCCTGACAGTGTTAGGATGGATACGGCGCAGTCCAGGAATTGTCTGGGACGTCGTTACTGCCGTTTGGAACCTGTGTCGGAGATGTGTAACTCGAATCCATCTGTCCTGTCTTGAAGTCGTTACTCGGTGGTCGGCAACGTCATTTGTGTTCTGATAACGCCTCACCAATGCCGATATCGTGTTGCGATGGCATTGGAAATGTGTTGCCACCTGTTGTTGCCTCGTTCCCGCTCGGATCATTCCAATGGCTTCATGACACTGTGCAGCTGTCAATCTTGGCATGATTTGCTTGTGATATGCTTGTGTCTGCGCCTGAGAAGTTTAGAATTTTTGAATGACCACAGATCATGCTTTCCAAAGTGACAGCGAATTTTGAGTTGCACATGATGTGTACAGCTGCACAGGATGCACGTGCAGTAACACATTGCACGTCCATAGGCCCCAATCAATGACGTCATATCGCATGGCACGTGCATGAGCGTTTGAATGTCTCAAATAATTGCTGTGTTCAAACCTATATTTCATATATGGACAGTGTGCCCTTATATCTATATTTTCTCCGTGCACAGTTTCTTTATGTGGCTAGTATATATTGGGGGCGTTTTTATTGAGTGAGTGAGTGGGTATGGTTTTACGCTGCTTTTTAGCAATATTCCAGCAATATCACGGCAGGGGAGACCAGAATGTCGGGAATCGCACCCGGGTCTTCCGCGTAATGAGCGAACGCTTTAACCTCTAGGCTACCCGACCGGCCCCGTTTTTATTGAAAGAAAATGATTAACTGTATATTCAGGAAAATGCATTTCTGATGATATGAGGTCAATCATAAATTATTTTATCATGAAAAAACATTTTCTCAAACATGTTTACAACCTTCTTTGACTCTGAATGGCATGTAGACTACAATACATAAAGTGACAAAACCTTTTCCATATCCAATATGAATGTCCTCATAAAAAAGAGTTTATACGACTCCTGCTATATATCGCAAGCATGTGTTTATGCGTATGTGTGAATATGAAATAGTAATGATACCAGGTCTTCTTAAAATGGTGAGCGTATCCTACCCCAGCCGGTGAGCCACTCACAAACACTTGCAAATGCAAGTCAATTGTTCACCTGAAATGTCCTCTACATGTCTACCAAAAAATGTTTACTTTGAATGTTGTAATCTTGATTAAACATCTACTGAGTAGCAGTCGGATGAATCTCTTTGAAATTTTGGTAGAAAGAGCACGCTCGATCGATCTCAAAAGTTGTGAATTGTGAGGATTTGGAGCTGATGGAATACTGCTCAGCATGTAGGGAAAGTAAAAGTCATCCCTCTTGTCATTTAAAGTCTTGTCGACTCTCTCTGAATATGTATGCATTGATCTAAATATGAAACAGATGAGGCGGTCTCACTGGTCTCCTTTATTTCTCGTTCAGGTAGGTTAGGCAGTGGAAGGGCATAGACTATTTGATGGTAATTGAACGATATATAATCAGCGACATACCGAGGCCTAAGTTAAACTTCTTGGCAAAATTACCTTGTTTTGACTTAGCCAATCTAAACAGAAATTCCGATACATGAAGAAACAGATCCGCAAGAAGTGGTGACCATGAGATCCCTACTCCTTGCCTAAATGTCTTATCCCCAAATTTTACGTAGTTATTATTAATAAAGAAGTCCACAAAAATATGCCAGAAAATGTTTCTGTGAAGTTATTCTGTGAAACAAAACACTTTTAATTTTGATGATTTAATCAGCATACAGAGATGTCATTCATATTCCTAAACATGTTAACATGTCTCATGGTATAAACATATGTAGCAAATTAATGTATGTCAAGACTTTTATGTTTCAGATATGTCACTGCCACTTCATGTTCTGCCTACCACTAGTTATGATGACAAACTCAAGAAGTCTTTCATGCACCAGCTGTCACTCCATGTTGAGCTGAACAGGGAACTGTCCGCCACTGTTTCGCCGCCGCACATTGTGATATTCCGGCCTCAAGGCAGACCGAACGATGAATTTGAAGGAATGGTTCTACCTTTCCTTCAGAAATGTAAGATTTGTTGTAAATGAAAACAAAAGATCAGCTACTCTGCCATGGCGGGTTTCGATTGTATCTAAATCTTATCTGAATGTGAAATGAAGGACTTTAAGACAAATATATTTTTTTAAACATGCGACTTTCGAAAAAGGAAGTTATGTCCTTCCATCGTTAATATGAAGATGATCTAAGATTAGGGAATACATCATAGGCATAGCTTCAAGATCCACAATGATACAAATGTAACAATTTGTAGATGAAATAGATAAAGAGGCCTTTAGCCAATCAAACTTTCACTCTAATGGTTTTTTTTTTCATTTCAGGTGGTCCAAGTAGCGACATTATTCTCTTCACTGCCTTCACAACATCACAGCAGTACCGACGTGGCTTCAGCCCAACTTGTGTATCAAGCTTCAAATACACGGACAAACTTTTTATCACGTCCGGACATCTTGATACACAAATTAACAAGTCCACATTTAAACGACTTGGGGATATCCTTATGACACAATATAGCTTCAAGGTATGTACAAGTCATAAAACATGTCCAGTATGTATAATTCAAGAGAGGTGACACTGTGGAACCAAATCACCACTTTCCATTATAAATGCATAGCAAGAGTTTATTGCTTCAAATACGAATATGATGTTTAATGTACTGGCAGATTTCTGATGATCAGTCGCAACTTGGAAGGGACGCGGAACCAGTACATCACACACGAGGCCAAGGTAATTGCATTTTGATATCGATATTCACACATACGCATTTTTATGATGACAATGTTAGCAGTACTGGTGCAATAGACAACATTAACATTAACATTGCTCCGTCTGATTAACATATGGATGTCGAATTGTATTAATAAAGGAAGATCTCTAATACATACAGATATGGAAAGCAATGCGAACAACCAAGTGGACAATGTCAGCTCTTCTTGTCGTGACGCGAACAATCGAGAGGACAATGTCATTTATTCTCGTATTGATGACAACAGCCAAGTGGACAAAGGCATCTCTGCTTGTTTTGATGCCAACAGCCAAGTGGACAAAGGCAGCTCTGCTTGTTTTGATGCCCACAGCCAAGTGGACAAAGGCAACTCTGCTTGTTTTGATGCCCACAGCCAAGTGGACAAAGGCAGTTCTGCTTGTTTTGATGCCAACAGCCAAGTGGACAAAGGCAGCTCTGCTTGTTTTGATGCCCACAGCCAAGTGGACAAAGGCAGCTATGCTTGTTTTGATGCCCACAGCCAAGTGGACAAAGGCAGTTCTGCTTGTTTTGATGCCCACAGCCAAGTGGACAAAGGCAGCTCTGCTTGTTTTGATGCCAACAGCCAAGTGGACAAAGGCAGCTCTGCTTGTTTTGATGCCCACAGCCAAGTGGACAAATGCAGTTCTGCTTGTTTTGATGCCAACAGCCAAGTGGACAAAGGCAGCTCTGCTTGTTTTGATGCCCACAGCCAAGTGGACAAAGGCAGCTCTGCTTGTTTTGATGCAAACAGCCAAGTGGACAAAGGCAGCTCTGCTTGTTTTGATGCCCACAGCCAAGTGGACAAAGGCAGCTCTGCTTGTTTTGATGCCCACAGCCAAGTGGACAAAGGCAGCTATGCTTGTTTTGATGCAAACAGCCAAGTGGACAAAGGCAGCTATGCTTGTTTTGATGCAAACAGCCAAGTGGACAAGGACAACTCTGCTTGTTTTGATGCCCACAGCCAAGTGGACAAAGGCAGCTCTGCTTGTTTTGATGCCCACAGCCAAGTGGACAAAGGCAGCTCTGCTTGTTTTGATGCCCACAGCCAAGTGGACAAAGGCAGCTATGCTTGTTTTGATGCCCACAGCCAAGCGGACAAGGGCAGCTATGCTTGTTTTGATGCAAACAGCCAAGTGAACAAAGGAGACTCTACTCAAAGTCTTGTCAGCAGCAAAGTAGAGAACCTTGATTCCACTGCAGGTTTCGCTAACAGGCAAGAGGGAAAAGGCGGATATTCTGGTAGTGATGCCAAAAGCCAAATGTACAAAGGCAACTCTACTGGACATGTTGTCAATAGTCAGGTAGACGAAGGCAGACCTTCTTCTTCTTTTGATGCCATCAGCCAAATTGAGAAAGAAACATCTGTAAGAAGTAATGCCAACAGCCATGTGACCAAAGGCAACGCTACTAGATACAGCAAAATTGAGAAAGCCATGTCTTCTGGTAATGATGTCAACAGGCAAGATGACAAAAGCAAAGTTACTGAATGTGAAATTGACAGCTTTGTGGATAAACGCAACTTTGCTGGACACGTTGCCAACAGCCAAGAGGACAAAGATAGTTCTTGTAGTGATGCCAGGAACCAAGTGGACAAAGGCAGTTCTCCTTGCAATGATGCCAACAGCTATGTGGACGAAGGGGTCTCTACTAAAAGTCAGGCCAGGAGCCAAGTAGAAAGCGGTAATTCTGCTGAAAGTGTTGCAAGCAGCCAGGGCGAGAAATGCAGAACTTCTGGAAGTGATGCCAACACCCAAGTGGACAATGGCAGATCTATTCTAGATTCCGAAACTGGAAGCAGGCAAAATGTCGATGACATTGGTGAGTTTTCAGGAACGTCAATTATTAGCCTTTGCATATGCTATGTAAAGCCCCATTAATCTTAGCTCTATGGCTCCCAGAAACTGTCCTGAGCAAAATATTTCCAGATTACAAGTGTTACGTGGTATGTATATGTATGTTATCAATGGTAATTATCATGAATATACAGTTTCTGATTCAATGTGTGCGACTGTATCAAACATGTGTTCTGGGATATTTCAGAGAGATTACGGAGGATAAAGCAAGACATAGAGAGAGAGACAACTGCTTTGCAAGAGAGGGTGGAAAAAAAGTACCACTTGCCACCAGGGAAGCTGCTGACAATACTTGATGAGGTGCTGATATTTCTTGACCACAGACAAGAGGTAATATATATCACATGATCTAGGATATTATACTTTTTCATTACCCATATCTTTCTTATTGTACAAGTCAAATGGACATACTTCCTCCGCTGAAATATAGCGTAACTCTGCACTCATGTGGGCATTGGGGTTCAGAGTACGCATATCACACCAGCTGTATGGACTGGGGATCTGAAAGCCAGGCTCTCTGATCATCATCCTCCTGCGATGGCATATGCTATTGCTCCAGGTTTCGGTTACAGTATTATCTGAATCAGATTCGATTATTTACAGGAAAAAGGTGACATAAATTGAAAATTGCTAATTAACACTGAAAGGTAAAAGTATGTAGGCACCATTTCAGGTTATAACCCAGAGGCTAGAAACGGTCTTCCTAACACCGACAAAACTTCAAAAGAAGCTGTTATTTCAGTAAAGATTAGACAGATACCATTCATGTGTGGCTACCGACAAAGGGTTTAATGTTTATGTTGATGTTTATGATTATGTTGCAATTACAAAAGGTGACATCTGACTCAAAGGAAATTATGCAACTTTGAAGAACTACTTTGATTACAAGTAAAACATCAATTTAATGTTTCAAAGGCATTTCTCAGGGGTGTACTGATGACTAAGTCAGACACAATCAATGTAGAAATTATTACATCTATCACAGTAAAATAAAGAAGTTGTTACCCATAAATCATAATAATTTATATATTCTGTATATACTGATATATCAACAAGCAGCTACAGCATCGAAGCAAGCCCACGCTAATATGTGCTGTCCCTGCCAATTAATTGAATAACACCAAATTCGAAACAATCGCGATGGTAAATGAAGATATCGCGATGGTAATCATCATTTCCCTCTTACAATTCTGAAATGTTTTGGGGTTAACCTAAAACAGTCCTCCCATCTTGAAAACCATTGCTTTAGTTTTATCTAAATTAACATGTAAATATTAGTCAATGCAATATTTCTCCAAAACATTCGTTTCTGCCAATATCTAACAGGATAATTCCTTCTGCCAATCATAAAGGTAACAATCGCGTCAGACGAGGGTGTTAGATTCCTGTTTAGAAATGGACTGACTCCAAGTGGACATGGAGTTATGAGTTATCAAATCTGACACAATATCTTACTGACTTATGGATTGATTGAACACATCCTATGTTGGTTTTTGTTTCAGATACACGTTTTTCTTTTAGGACTATGCGCGGATTATTACGATTAATACTGGCGAGAATTGAAAAAATCCACAAACAGTTGATAAATAGACAGTAATTTTCGAGTGGAATGACGGATTAAATGTCCAGAGTGAAATTAAAGTTGTAAGTGCTGAGCCGTTTAATTAAGAAACTTTAAAGACAAGAAACATGAAGCGAAGTCGCATTTCATCATATTAATACGTGTGTGAAATGGCACCGAATTTGTGGAATTTTACCTGATCATATAAAATAGACACTCAACACTAAGATTCCGCAAATGCGAAATAGTTCGCTTGAGAGGCATTAGTCCTTCGAAAATTAAAGCAATATGGTGGCGATAAATATACATTTTGATTCATGTATGATAGTACAAAAATGAATTCAAAATGAGTTGGCATTGTTGCTTGAGCTTGTGTCTTACGTTTTGAAACAACTGTCAATGTCACTTTCTTTCGATCTCTCGCCCACTGTCATAGAATCCGTTTTATACTGCGACAAGATCTTCACAAGATTGTTCACTTTTATCGTGGATAGGAATATTGACTTTTTTTAAATGCAAGGATAGCTGACGATTTAGTCAATCACATTTACTGTACTTAAATCTTTTTTTTTTATCTTTGTATAGTCCATTATTGTAAACAACATGTGTTACTGATATGTTTTTGTCATTAATAAAAACAATATTTTTAGAACGAATTATGTTGTAGATATTAAAAGACAAAACTCAAACACTTGTTTTTTTAAAATCATGAATGAACATGGAAATGAGAAATAAGTAGTTCCGGCCATGCAGTATTAACCAATGAGGTTACAGGATTTTTTAAACAGCTGATCGGCTTTAAAGCGACTGTTTGAATGTAAGGGTACAGGAAAAAAAATACCCCGCATCTCCCTTCTGATATGGCTTATAAAGCTTTTGCTTACCTGGACATCATTCAATTATGACTGTAATATCCAGACTGGGATTTTATAATGTGTGCATACGCAGTACACCAATATATTGATATTAAGGACAGACACGTTGAGTTTACAGTTTACAGTTGGATGGACATCTCCCTGCTTGTGTAATGGAACAGTTTACTGGCTCCCCAGGAGTATGCTTTTTCAGCATTAAATATAACTGTAAGGTGTGTGACAAGAATATCACTGGCATATTTAAAGAATTCAGCAATTAATAAGTCATTGCCAGCTGATTTAGAATATTTGCGGGTATTAATACTACGGATTACTTCGTCTTGTGGTCCATGTCAACAGTGTCAATAAATTCTTGACACGATCCGTCAATATCCAAGATATTTAGGAAAAGCACCATCCATTGACTCATTGATTTCTGTCTCGTCGCACAATTTTAGATGATTCCAGTCATCAACATTCTTGCAATGTCAATATACTGCATTAACCCCATTCAAAATTGGTTTGGAAGCACGATCTAGGAGTCTAGAAGATTGTTGGCCCAAGTTGTACAAGAGATACTGCTACTCTTCATACAAGACTTTACAGGATCATTTTTCATATTTTACAGGCAGCTGCAACTTCAGAAATAAAGGGGAAATGTAAGTTTATGACGGAAGTATATTATCAGAGAATAACATCAGGAGTATTGTAACAGTTTCCCTCGTGATAGTGAGTGAGTGAGTAGGGTTTTACGCCGCCTTTAGCAATATTCCAGCAATATCACGGCGGGGGACCCCAGAAATTGGCCCCTCATGATAGAGTGAATAATGATGGGGGATGTAATTTAACATTCATTGCAGGTGTAACTTGCAAGGTTCATAAAACGTTGTCATTATCAGTATTTTGCTAATGGCACACGTATATATTAGTCACCTTTAACGTTTGTAATATTATAAGAATATAATAGAAAGATTACATGCATACTAAGTGATGTTCAAATATACACCAAGAATGTTGAGCAAAATCAATACCATTAAGTTTCTGTATGCCATCTTACTAACTTCCTAACAATGTGACGCCTATGCATTTACTGACAATTTGTTTTGTGGGTGTAGATGTGATTATAATGAAAGTTCTAAACTACTCCAGCTCTGCTCGGACACGAAATGGCCGGCACAATTGAGAACAGACTAGCGCTGGATACAGGGTCACTAAATAACATCTTACAAGCTGTGCTAAAGGTACCATTCATGTCAGATCTGTTAATTTCTGAAAGTACACAACTCTGCACAGGTAATTCTGGCGAATTGGCGCTCCTTTGTTACAAGGACGATACATTACTGTAGTTCTATGTTTTCGACAACCCAGAGTTCAGTTTCATGTAAATGTAAATTGAATTCACATTTTTTCTACAGAAAATCAACTTATCTGAATTGATTAGAGTAAGCTGCTTGTCTTATTTCATATAATGTTTTGGAGCTTATCAGTGGTGGCCATATGGGAGAAACGCTACAGATGTCGCCATGATATGCACGTGTGACCTGTGTGTTGAATGTTTCAGGAACCGGTGAAGTGGTGGAAGAAGTTGTTCTTTTGGAGATGAAAGTGACACATGGCGCATCCACATGGGCAAACTGAAGATAACAGATACATGTACATGACGGAGGAACACAATGAATGTCAGTTTCAGATCTTGTAAAATCTGTAGGATGATAAATATCAACAACTTAACTACCAGCATAATTGAGGGATATTTGCAGCAAGTTAGGTCATTGTCAGCAATATTCCAGATATACCACGTCAAACTACACATGATTGAATCTTGGGCCAGGCAAACCAGGAGCATCTCTGTTCCATTTAAGAATCAAAATTTGAGTCTGGGTCAAGCAATGCAGTAGCGAGTAAGGATAAGAATCATGGATGAACAACTTCTGTATTACAATTAGGAGGGGGCACGGGTGGCCCAGTCGTCTAAGGCGCCGCGATTCGCTGTGCAGAGTTGCGTCCCTTGGGCACGCCAGAAACCTATGATTGTGGGTTCGAATCCCGGTTCGCCCCGATTATGTTTCTAGGTTTGTCAGCACCATACCCGTGCTCGTGGGTTTCACCAAAGTGGTAAACGTCTGAGACCTGCATCACTTCGGGCTTTCCTCCCACATTAAACTGACACGCCGTGATATAACTGGAATACTGTTAATAGCGGCGTTAAACCCAACTCACTCACTCACTCACTACAATTAAGAGCGACGTTTCGGTGTAGGTTATCAAGCAAGTGATTGGGAGAGTGGATGTACTTATTCTCAAGGTTGTTGAGTCGATTGATGGTTGAGATGCCACGTTCTCATGGAGACGAGGAAAAACCTCTTTGATAGGCATTTAGAAGTTCTAAGTTCTAAGTAAGGATAAGAATTTATGTATGAACAACTTCTTTATTACAATTAAGAGCGACGTTTCGGTGAAGGTTCTAACACCGTTATCGTGCAAGAGAATGCAGTATATCACGTCGGCAGTCTGTAAATTGTTTAGCAGTACAATCCATATACCATGTCAGTCTGTAAATAATTGCGTAATATACTCTTTATAATGGTTCAGCAGTTGAATCTATATACCTTTTCAAGCTGTAAATATCTGATCAATAGAGTCTATATTAATGTCAGAGTGTAACCGATTTAGCAGTAGAATCTATATACCATGTCAGACTGTACATGATTGTGTCTGGGACTGACAAACCAGATATATCTATAAACCATGACAGGCTGGAAACGAATTGATCTGTTGTTTTATATATATCCAGGTAAAGAAATCATTTGACCACTACCGCCATCATGGTTATATTCCCATAAAAATTAACTTCAAAAAATCCTTTATTCTTTTTAAAGGCTCAATTAATGTAAAGGAAAACAAGCAATGCTAACAAACCGAATACAGCACAGAGTCTTGAGTTGCACATAGGAAATCAGTTTGACTTCAAAATTACTCAGGTTTAAGAGATTACCGAACCTCAAACTCACGAATGTTGCGAGAACATATTACAATAGTAGCTGTGATCAGTGACCATCTGATTCCTGTGAAAGTGGTGACAATATTACTGCAGCACGGCAACACAGCAAATAATTGATAATTTAGCCAGTATATGTTTTATCCCTCCGGCCATTGGACAATTTCGCCGCATCGCTGCATCGCTGCATCGCCGTATCCACCTTGTGATGCCGGCTATGTCATCATCGCGTGTTAATAAATCAGTAACAATTAGTGCTGACAACATCTGTTCTCAAAAAGGTAAGAGTACCCTGTCCCATGCGGCATCCGTCACAAGCACCTGCAAAGCCAAGCTAGTCCTAATATCAGTGGAGAGCCTGTTTGGAGTGGGATGTGTCCTTGTATCAATGTGGAGCCAGTTAGGGTGGGTTACCCTGTTGTATCAGTTGAGAAGGGTCCTTCCTTCAACATCATAAGGACAATACGTTTAAGACCTGAGAGACCCTGAGAGCATTTACATTGTTAAACGAATTAACTAACAGGCAAGTCATCAGCTACGATATGCTTTCAGCAGTATTCCAGCTACATGGCAGTGGCTGCTACATGAACCAGGTTCGATGGCAATATTGGCTTATATTAACATTGACCGTTTTGTCTTGTTGTGTAGGTATATTTACAACTTAGTGGCGAGACAGCCAGGCAGTATGCTTGTCACCCGCGTGTTCAGGATGAGTAACGCGGGCAACACCTGGAAACACACCATACCACGCTTCACGGCGGCGTTATTCTCGGTGACAGTGGACACGCATGTCGTCCGTATATAAAGATATCTTCCCCGAGCGATTTAACTCTTCCCATTAAAGAACAGATCAACCATAGAAAGAGTATTTAGGTGGTTCAAACAAAGTTTCCATGTTCTGCACGGTGAAATCAGGATTAGCCCTGAGAGTCTGCACCATCATTGGTTAGCTTACTACGATAATAATGTACTGAACCGCAAATGAACCGTCACCCCGAGTAACATTGCATGAAAAGTTGTCATTTAAATATCTGGGTAATTGTTGTCAAAGTTTCTAAAATTTAACATTACCTTACCCGGAAAAATGAATGTTGATGATCATAAAACAAAGCAGATGACAACAAAACCGATCGCCCAAACGCATCACGGCAACCGCCTTGGTAATCCGATGCACGTGAGTTTCGTGCAAATTGAAATGCATATGCGTTCCCCCATTTCTTGCCCTATAAAAATCCACCCAGATCAGATAAGATTCATTCGTTATTGAATTGCTACCACATGCCAAGATTTACATGAAATCAGCGACACCAAGCCCCTGAACGCTTGCAAGCTGGACAAACCGCCCGACAAGTAGACCAATGCATTTCAAGTCCACGTAAGGACCATATACAGGCTCCAGCAACGGTAAACTGCTCGACAGGCCATGGGGACACACCAGCCACACATTAGTGCGGACACCGTGCGTCGATGATTGACGAGCAGACAACTCCATTGTCACAGGCCACACCGAGGACCCATTCTGACACCACGTCATCTCCGTGACCGTCTTCAGTGGGCAACACAGCACCAGCATTGGCGCCACCAACAGTGCAGAGGAGTCCTCTTCTCAGACGAGAGCCGTTACGGTATCTCAGCAGCAGATGGCAGTGAGAGAGAGAGCGTCTGGCGACGCCATGGGGAACATTATTTGGATACTTGTGTTGTTGAGAGAGACTCGTGGGGTGGTCCGAGCATCATAGTGTGGGGTGGAATTGGTCTTGCACAGAAGGTCGGCCCTGTGGTCTTCCATAGAGGCAATGGTGTCACAGCAGCTCGGTACATTGAACAAGTCTAGATACCACACGCCATACCTCATTTGGCACGTTGCCACAACCATGAGTTTCAGCATGATAACGCCCGTGCCCCCACTGCGAGAGCAACAAGAGACTTCCTCCAGCAGAATGGTATCAAAACCATGCAGTGGCCTTCTCTCAGTCCCGATTTAAATCCCATTGGGGCGAAATTCAAAGACGTCTGAATGACGTCCGACCAAGGCCGACAACTGCAGCTGAACTGCGTCAGGCGTTCGTCAGAATGTGGGCTCAAGTACCCATGGCCTTCACAAACCGCCTCATCCATTCCATCTATCGACGTTGCACGGCAGTCATCAATGCACATAGCGGACACACGAGATACTGACTTGTGATGCAATTTTCTCAGAGACTAGCGTTGTGTTTCACTTTAAGAACATTTGGCACTTTAAGTTCAACCTTGATCATCAGTTTTGCCAAGTTTCATCTTTTTAATATGTCTCAAAGTATGTTTACAGTGTTTGGACAAATAAGGTTCCTCATATATCTATGCATGGAGACGTTTCTTTTGCGGTTCAGTATATAAAGATGACATCAATTTGAAACTGACCCATGTATAAGATCCGAAAAGTGTACCATAAAGAAAGTAACGAAGTAAAATGAATGACAATGTTTTAGGTTTGCAAGTACCCCCAAGCCGCATTTATAGCTTGAATAGGGCCAACAATGGCGGGAAACACACCCATTGTTACAGGAGAATCGAATTATAACGATACTGTAAATAATATATACAGATGCATACGCAAAGAACACCCGGCAAGGTAACATTTCAAATATGGTGCATCATGCTATCCAGCTACAATCGGAGCTGCTTGTTCATCAGTTCAAAGTAAGTACTTTGCTGAATAACTTTGTTTTTTTGTTCAGGCAAAACCTCATGCTGCAGTCGGGTGATGTCATCGTGTTTGATCCTTTTCTTGGTGACACGATTCGATTTTGAAACAGTCGGGAACAAAGGCTTGAACAAAAACAGTTTTTGTAACTACCTCTAAAGCCTGAAGGCATGTACTGGATTCCAAAGCTCTCTAAAAATCCGTACAAAGACAGATATATTGCTGGGTCAAGCAAATGTACCACCAAATCCCTGTCTCAAAGATTAACCCATAGTCCTTAATACAAGCAAGGAAGGACATGTGGAATTAATACATGTGAATTCTGAAAAACTCAAAGAATTTCCTTTACTTTCAACAATCTCAAAAATGAAACAAGATCAATTCTGTGAAAGATTGGATATTTTAACTTTGCCTCAGTAGAGCTTTTAAAACGTTTTATGGCTGACATCTGGAGGCAATTTCCAAATTTGACATCAGTGACAAAAATGATGTCCGATGCAATTCCTATTTTTATCTTCTACTGTATGTTCCCTTGTTGGTTTTTTCATGTTAACCATTGGTTTGCCTTTGTATGTGTTTGTGACGGGTGCAACCGTTGGGGCAGGATATGCACACTTATTCGTAAACACCTTGTATCATTACGTTTTGATAGTGGTTCATAAACACATGCTCATGATATCGATTCTGCTTTTGGCAGATATTTTTTTTATGAATTTAGAAAGAGTTGTGACACTTTAACTCCCATAGGTATCCCGTTCGCAATGGACACGTTGATGTGACGCAAGTCAGGTCGCCGTCGTCTCACACTCATAAAAGTACAGCCTGCCTTCTAGAAACTGCTACCTCATAGAACAGCTCGACCAATCAAGTTAGTCCCGGAAGCGGACCGACGACTGAAAACAATTACTAAGAGAGATAACTCTAAACTACTAGCTGTCAAGGTCCCTACAAGAGCCTCAATCAAATTGTCTCAAACAATACTACTACCCATAACAAAACTACCGCCACATATCAACATGAAATATGCAAACGCCAATGTAGATAGTAGATAATGTAATAGATAATGACACCCTGTAATCTACAAAACAATGACATTATACACAGAAGTACACATATATATTGATACAATACAAAGCGACCATTCATTTCATATAAACATACGCCTATATTCTGTACATAAACATGAACTTAATAAGCAGTGATATATAAAATCATTATCTTATACAGTATTTACACAATTATAAGAAATCAACGCATTCACTCAAACATTCACACACAGAAAGAAGAAGGATAAGAAGCATTTATAGTGTTTACTTAGCCTTATTTAATTATCAACAATCACCATACCAGAGATAAGCATGTTAATCATACTGAAATAACATTCCACATAACTTAGATAGCATAAGTTATATATATTATACAAATACATACATAGATATAAGCTAGCAATTTTATAGATTACTAACCTTAACAATCGAATTATTTATCTAAAGTATTGTTCAGCTCCAAAATGTTGACTGACTTCTAAAGTGGTGTTTGTGTCTAGCGGAAGATGGATGAAAAGTGAACAGTTTGAACAAGCCAATGAAAACAAGGCTTGGATTAAAACAAAAGAAGAAACAATGACACAAACATGGACTAACCCAACCACCCTCTTCATTATAAGTAAACTAATCTAGAAGCCCACAATAAATATTAAACTAGGAAACTACTTTACTAACAACTTAAAATAATATTACAGACTTATTTCAAATTGATAAAAAAGATATGTACAACAAAACTGTATGTCAACACTTGTGTCTGCCACATCAAGAGGGAAGTGTGTCTCCTTCATTGACCGTGAAGTGATATGAGTGAGTGAGTATGGTTTTACGCTGCTTTTACCCATATCCAGCAATATCACGGACACCCGAAATGGGCTTCACACATTGTACCCATGTCGGAATCGAACCCGTATCATCTGCACGACGAGCGAACGCTTTAACCACCAGGCTACCCGAGCGGCCCTCAAATGATATGAATAGACCCCTGAAAAACATTGATGACACCAGATTTTCGCCAAATGGTAACATAAAGTGTTTGTTTGTTGCCTTACCCTTGCTATACTACGGAGGCATGTAAACCATCGAGCCTAGACCAGACAATCCAGTGATAGAGAATCTGCACAAGGCAAACACTATATCACATCGCCATCGCTTGACGAGGTAGTTCATCTCACCATATTTGTGTTTTAATGAGTGTGGTATTTCCTAGGTTAAGCTGAACAACAGCTAAATATGTTTAGACATATAAATACACTACTAGTCTACAATCTCTGTAGCCTTAAACATTACGGAAGTTGTTAACTGCACAACTCCATGAAAGGGTTACAGTGACCTGACTAACTCCGCCAAGAAATGCACTTCAATGCTGCGGTCATGTCCCACGTGTCAACCTTGGATATATGGTGCATGCATTCATTTCAAGGGGGGCTTGTTCTTTTGCTATCATCTTTGTGATCAGAGAGTATTGTGGTATCTCAATGGTGTCCTGTTGTGAAATTACCCTACATGTTTCTTCAAAAACAGCTCAACCTTGAATGCATTGAATGTAGGTTGCCGAACTGTCTATTCCGTATAGTTATCATCATTGTCAGGTAGGGTGTGTGTGCGTGTTCTTTTATTATCAGGGTATTATAGGATATGAAGAGGTGCATCTGCCTCACTTTGAACCAATGATTTGATGATTACCATACTTTGAATGTTAAGTCACCTTACGTTATGATTAGACGTTATTGTGATATCTCCAAGGAGACTATATCTCCTGCTGTGAGATTGTCTCACATGTTTCTTCCTCAACAACTTTACACAGAATATCTTTCGCTGAAAGTGAGTGAGTGATTTTGGTTTTACGCCGCTTTTAGCAATATTCCAGCAATAGCACGGCGGGGTACACCAGAAATGGACTTCACACATTGTACCCATGTCGGGAATCGAACCCGGGTCTTCGGCGTGACGAGCGAACGCTTTAACCAGTAGGCTACCCGACCGCCCCTTCGCTGCAACTACAAGTTGTGTCCAGTCAAACGGGTATGTGTGTGCCTCTGCCTAACTCGAACCCAGAGCAGGGATATTGTTGTGAAATCAATACATACAAACTCTCACCCCCATATTTAAGCCTGGACAGTGATAAGCCCATATGACAGACAGTCCTTGTTTTCCCCTTGAAATCAATTACTCATACTGTATATAATAGTTATATGGTTATGGTATGAATTCACATACTGTATTCCATATGCCTGCATGTGACTTGCTTGTTAAATACTTGACTCGTTCTCTTAAATTCTCCTCACAGGGACTTCCCAATCTTGATACCCTCAAACACATCTGGCTTGAACATAAATAAAAAGATCTTTTTCATATCTCCTCAGGGTCGCACCAGCCAGCTGACTTGACAATCTCCATCACAGTATGTCAGTATATAGTTTTGTGTGGAACAATCATTCCTATAATGTGTATATGTTACACGGTGAAATATGCGTCTGCCAAACCCTTCACTCTTTGATACGTATTTACATATAGATCCATTAATATTCATAGTTTATCGAAAACGAATGTAAACTTATAACCCCGCAGAAACAGACAGGAAAGTTCAGGACATCACAGCGGTGTTAGAATGAGTGGTGTATTGGGTGTGTCATGATCCACCCACAGACGGGACAGAGGCAAAGTTGAGACCCCAGAGGACGACATACACACGACAACGCCAATACAATATTCAATGACAGTATCAAATACACAAACAATATGATGGCAGTGCTGATATTATGAGTAATGCACAACAGTGGTCAAGCTTCTAAGATAGGCGCTTGAAATTCGGGATGATAGGTGATCTTCACACAACCGCTATTCTTTATGTAATGTACGAAGAAATGTGAGATGAGACGGTGCCAGACCAGTCCAGTGTCACTTGAACCATGACAAAATGTTCCACATTCTATAGTGTTCCATGTTTCTATGCTACATAATAACTTCCTCAGCACTGCTTACATTAAACAGTACTACATTCCTGACAACTAATCATTGTCCAAATACAATGCAATAAACTTCTACAATAACAATAAAATACACTGCCATATAACAATTTCGATCAGTGGAGGCTAATTGTTAAACTGTAGGATTAAATAGTTGTTACAATTTGTTATTACGATGATTTGTAAAAGTGTATTAAGATATTTCTGTTATATTTCTTGAAGGCTGGCGCAGGGACAATTCCCGACAGGGACAAATATCAGGGCATTTATCACAGGACTTGTTTTTCACTGCTGTTACCGATTGTGTTGCCTCCCGTGAATTTAAATCTGAGACGTTGTGTTTGAATATAATTTGTCAATCATTCATTGATCTTGTGTGGTAATTTACTGATTTCACAATTTAGTTCTTGTCTGGGTTAACGATCCCATTTCAATTATAGTAAATTATTTCGAGTGTTTTTGCCTGGCTGATAATCCTTACATAAGATGTTTTGATTTCAGAGTATCGCACACTCAACATGTGGTTTTAGTACATGTCAACCTATTTCTGATGTCATTAACACTTAAGCTTTTTCCCATTTATTTCAAAAGGTGTCGCTTAAAGGGACCTCCTTTAGCATTTGAAAGAACATTGGCTTAATCAACCAGACTTGAAATTGCTGGACTATAATTGAGTGGTATCTTTAGTTATCTGTTTTTGGTTATTATAAACAAACATGGCAGACTTGGTAAGACAGTTTCTCGAAGGCGGGCTGTACCCATACAAGTGCGACAAGAGGGCAATTCCAAGCCTTTTACAACTCATCGACAAGTTACTTGTTACCTCCTACTGGCATGTTTTCATTGGTTGGTTTGTTGGCTGTTTAACGCCGCACTCAGCAATATTCCAGCTATATGACGGCGGTTTGAAAATATTCTGGACAAGACTATCCATTGATTGACATCAGGAGCATCGATCAACGCAACTGGGATTGATGACATGCCTCAACCAAGTCAGCGAGCCTGACCACCCAATCCCTCTAGTCTCCTTTTACAACAAGCATAGTCACCTTTTACGGCAAGCATGGGTTGCTGAAGACCTATCTTACACCGGATCTTCACGGGTATCATTTGCAGTGACAATGTCTCTGTTAAATGTAAATCAATATCCATTTACACTTAAAAGTAAATAGAAACAAATGTGCAAACTACATCTTGCATAATAATGATATTTATGTCTCGATAATTTATGGACAGTAAATGTAGTTACAGGTGGTGGTGACGACCTCCGACGTGTCAGTCAGGTAAAGCCCCTCTCCAGCCCAACTGCAGGTTCCTGGACAACTCGACCCTGACGTCTTTGTAACATGGATCATCAGCTCGGTTCCAGTTCTCCTCTGGATCTTTCGTATGGTCATAGAGTTCAACTCCCTGTAGTTGATCCCACATGGGTGTATAAATAGGCCTGCCTTTGAAGTTGATCCACTCTGTGTATCGATACATCTCTGTCCTCATGCTGTAACCCATGACAATGTCCCCCTCAAGTCCGTTGCCCCCTCTGGGGTATTGGGAGAATGCTGCAGTTTTCCATGCTTCCAGTGTTGGGTTCGTCATAAGTGGCACCATACTTGTACCCTCTGTGCACAGACTGACATTCTGGGAGTCTGGTGGACACTGCTCAAGTTTGGGAAGTCCTGCAGCCTCCACGAGGGTAGGGTAGAGATCAACAAATTCTGTAAGTTTCTCAGTGACAACACCATGATCGGTGACCCCAGGAACACGAATCATCATGGGGGCATGTGTTGCATCCTCAAAGTTTGTCTGCTTCGCCCATTCAGAATGTTCCCCCAACTGCCATCCATGATCCCCCCAGAAGGCTATTATTGTATTATTGGTCAAGCCCAGGTTATCCAGCTGGTCAATGACCCTACCAAGTTCGTAATCTACGTAGCTCACACAGCTGTAATAAGCCTGTCGCATTTCAAGAGTAAGTGTTGTTGGAAATGTAAAGTTAATGTTACCACAATTTTTCAAGTCGTAGGTTTGTAAGTCTTTAAAGTTAGCCATTTTACTGTAGTTATGCCATGCAATAGCAGGCATTCCTACTGGAGCATAGTAATTTGGTGGTAGCTTCAAACTTTCCAGAGGATAGTAGTCCTTAAACCGTGCGGGAAAGTTCCAGGTACTATGGGGTTTACGGAAACCCACAGCCAGAAAGAAAGGACGCTCACCTGACCTAGCTTCTGGGGCCACCTCCTTTTGTGGCCAAAAGCTGATCCTGTAGTGGCTGGGCCTTAGCTCTCTCCTCGGAGACTGCTTCAATAAGAAGATTGTTAGTTATGTACGCATCAGTAGAATGGGTGTAGGGATCAGTCCATGAAACAGGATCGTCACCTCCGGAGGATGCGCCTGGGTGAAATATTTTCCCCATTCCTATGGTTCTGTACCCATTTTGTTTGAAATACTGGGGCAGTGTAGTGAAATTACCTCCATACTGACGAAAGTAAGGTCCGATTAGCCAGATGTGGCTTGTGTCAGGGCGTCTGCTGGTCAGGAGGGCTGTCCTGCTTGGACTGCATACTGCCACTGAGACGTAAGCTCGCTTTAGGAGGAGGGATCTAGCAGCAAGTGCATCAATATTTGGTGTATGCATCTTTGGATGAACTGGAGATGGCGCATCTGGTCCGTCATAGGCACCGAGATTGGGTCTCAAATCATCCGAAACTAAAAACAAAATATTCTTCCTTGCATGGACTATTCCTAGGAATAACAAGTGTGAGACAAATATTTTCATTCTCGAAGAGCTGCTCATTTTTGTTACTTGGACACCAGCTGAAATCTTCACTGAGGGCTCATTGTACTGTTCGGTATATATATGCTACTTTCTTTCAAAATAGAACAGGTGTGTCTGTTTATCATTCTAAAGCAAAGCTTTGCATGTCTGCTTTTATCAGATGTGTTGACTTTAAAGTGGCCACCTGCAGTTTTCCAAATATTTCAGATTGTTTGATATATTTTATTCTCACCATTAACAACCTTGCCCCTTTTGACATTGTTTGGGGTGTTTTCCAGCACTTATTTAGATCAGTTTACTGAGTTTGTAACATGGAGCAAAATATCCACAGTATCTGATGTTGGGGATAGATAGAGCTGACTAAATAGGATCAGGTGATCTCCCTCCGTGACTTGGCTGACCATGGATCTGTTGATTCACCTTCCCTATGCCGTGGAGTACTCGGCTGATCATGCTCCATCAGGAGTCGAAATTGGCGTCTACATTTCAATTTTCTTGAATTCTTTTATTACCATGTTGCAGACCTGTGAAGATCCGCGGTAGAATAGGTCTTCAGCAACATGTGCTTGCGGTAAAAGGTGACTATGCTTGTCGTAAGAGGCGACTATCGGGATCGGGTCGTCATGTTCGCTGACTTTGTTGATGCATGTCATCGATTCCAATTGCGTGGATCGATGCTCATGATGTCAATCACTTGATTGTCTGGTCGAGATTCGATTATTTACAGACCACCGTCATATATAGCTGGAATATTGCTGAGTGCAGCGTTAAACAACAAACAAGACAATCACGTGGATCGATGCTCATGATATTAATCACACGATTGTCTGGTCGAGATTCGATTATTTACAGACTCTCGTAATATAGCTGGATTATTGCTGAGTGTGGCGTTAAACCAACCAACCTTAATTATCAAGGAAGACTTTCTTAATATTCACAGAAAGTATTTCAACAAACAAAACTGAAAACGAAGACTTCTCAAACTATGTGTGATCATTTTGAGTAATATTTGGTACCTATCTTTAAAGCATACTGGAAAACATCAATATATTTCATTAAAACAATACTATGCCACCAATCAAATATGTATAACTATATATCACATATGATTTGGGTTTTTTTAATTTGATTTTGTGAAAGAGTTGTTGCAATCACCACATTTCTTATGTTCAGTGTATCCTGATACTTTGATCTAACAAAAGTGTTAATATCAAATCAGTATACTTTTCAATTGTAAGGTGGCCAAACTATTTATACTCACTTAGATCCAACCCACTCAGCCACCGAGGCTTCCACAAAAATGAAAGTCCGACAAGACTCGGTTGCTGAGTGGGTTGGATCGCTGACTTTGTGTGCTGGCGATTAGGTGCCTCACTCTGGCTAGTGTGGGTTCGAATCCCAGGCGGGACTCAACCCCAAAAAGTACGAGAATCTGTACTTTACTAAGAAAGTGTTTTCCCAAACATCGGTTACATTCACTGAATTGCCATCCGCCACATCAACGCACTACAACATCATCACAGGAAATAAGTTTTGGGATCTGCGAGCAGCAGATTTGCCATGCAGAGTATGCGATATTAACACGGAATTCTTAACAGGACGTAGTAGAAGAAGCATGGCAGCGAGGTGGACAGACCTCACAAAAGAACTTTCTAGAACAGTTTTAGGAGGATATTTACCATTAAAGTAACACAGAATATAACAACAGCTATCTGTTATGCACCGGCTAACATTAATTACCAGAAACAAGACATGAAGAAAATTTGCATCTTGATACCTTCCGGAAACCCACCAGATGCTTTCAGCAACCTTCAAATTTCTTGATATTTTCAAGATAATTTTTTATGTGTTTCACACTTAAGTGAACAAAATGCACCCCTCTAAATTTTGACATTTTTTTTTAAAGGTATCCAGGCCGGATCCAAAATAGGTAGGTATCCGGAAGGTGTTTCCGGAAGGTTTCCGGAAGACGGAAACCTACACTTTTTTTGCTGTGAACAGGAAGTAGTCGAAGAAGCATGGCAGCGAGCTGGACAGACCTCGCAAAAGAACTTTCTAGAACAGTTTTCACCCTGCGAGAAACGTATAAAAGAAATGTTTACAGGACGATAAAGTCAGGCCAGAACATCACTGTCTAGCCATTTGACATCGCAAAGATGGCTATGATATTTGATGTCACATTCAGTACCTTCCCACTCAAGGACAAAGCAAGGAAAAACAAGAATGTGTATCAATCAATCAATCTTTATTGTATGAAAGGCCATTGGCCCATATACACATACAGATAAACAATATCGTTTACAGCTGTACAGCTTATTATATAATTATTGGATAACTAATATGATGCTTGACATGTATTAGAGGTATTGTAATAACAGTGGAAATAACCACAGTGGCAGTAGTAGTATAAAATACAAAAGGAAAAGCTATCAGTCAATTAAAACAAAGTTACGTGAACCTCAATGACAGTTGGATAGACGCAATCATTTTGCTGACACTCCAATAGTTTGAGAATGGGTAGTAAATCGTCCCACAGTTTTCCTTGAAAGGTTCCCCTCCCATAGTTAAACAAGAGCGGTCACCCTCCCATAGTATAGCATAGTATAGTGGATATCAGTTGAAGATTAGTTTGCGGCATTACCTTGATCGGACTTTGTTTTAAGTAGGAGAAAGTCCTAACGGCCTCGAACAAGCTTCACGTGCGAAAATAATAGCGAGATTTCGGACATTCTCCTACACGTAAACCGATACGTTACGGGTCGGCGAATAAAAGAAATTGAACTTCCACCAATGATAATGTTACTTATCCTATCTATCTGCTGTTAATAATTCACAATTTTAAGTCTATTATCTTCAACCCTAGATCGTCACGATATGGCCCATGTGACGATAAATAATAACTCACTCATTCACTCATTCAACCCCAGACGAAAACAACTTTCAAAATGTGCAATATGTAGCGTCACGTTGGTTTTCAATGTCCATTTCTACCTATGTATAGATAAATATGCAGTAGCCTTTGAATATACAAGGTGGCCACTGTATGTGCAAAGGAGGGTGGGATTTTGCATATGCTATTTTCCATGCTAAATATATACATATATATATAAAGTTACTCTTAAATGCAAAAACATCAATACTCTCATGTTACATGCCAATACAAATGTATTTTAGTATGTCAGCTTTTCCCAGTATTCCGGTGTACATACTGTTCTTGTTAAAATTAATCCTTTTAAATCTGTCAGTTTTATTCGTCACTTTATGTAATAATGCCCGGTAGAGAGCACAGTCCATGAGAGAATGAACTTTCATTAACTGCCGTAAAACGTCATTGTCGCTTATTGGTCAACCTAAAGTGGCTAATGTGTTCATAAAAACTAACCTTTTTGTAGTTTTTTTATCCTTTTGTTTTGTATCGACACATATTGGTGTCGCTAAACTATTTTTTATGTATAGCGCTTATTTTGTGCATGATATACGAAAATATAATGTTTGTCCATCTGTTAAAGTTCGTTTTTTTATTTCCATATCCTTATAGCAGAAACTACATTCATTTATTTAATCCCTGATCAACTGGAATTCTTTTCCATTCACACCAAATAAAAAAACCTTGTGATTGCTACACAGCGCATGATATACATATCCATATCCTCAAACCTAAAACAGAAACTATGGTAACGTAGGTCAGCATATTATTCCTGGTACAATCATTAAGATGTTTTTTTATCAAAATGTTCACAAACTCACTGCTGTTATGATACTATATATGTGTAGCCTTTACACGTAAGTGGTGAATCCTTTAGATCCTGTGTTAGCGACCCTCGTTAAAACAGCGCCATCTACTTCTATCACCCTTGGTAGAACTGTGTCGAGACTACGGATAAGTTTGAAGCATGCTCCTGGATCAATCGTTGCCCAGAATGCATAGATGCCATTTATAAGTTCATTTTTTGTTTGTGAATTCACCCGACGTCTAATATTCCATTTCAACGATGCCCAAGCTTTCTCGATTGGGTTGAGATATGGAGATTCTGGAGGTTTTGGCCTGTGATAAATCCCGTTTAAAGATAGCCACTGTGCTCCTACTGGTATGCTTAGGATCGTTGTCCTGCATTAGTCTATGACCATCTGGGTACTTGTCCTGAATGAAAGGCACTAAGAACTCCTTTAGAATATCTTGATAGGCCTCGCTGTCCACAGTGCCTGTGAAGAGACAAATATCTGTTGCATACGTTGTGAAATCCCTGCACAAACATGTACTTGATATGGATGTTTGGGGCGGCTTTTAAATTTTCGTGGACTCCCTTTCTTTTGAAATCATTTGGTTAACGTTGACTCACTGTGCACTCATCCGTGAATATGACATCTTCAAATGTATCATGCGACGTCATGACCTTCTCACAAAAGTGTTTTCGTTTCACTGTTACCGTTGTAACAGATTTACTGTTTTTACTTTTAAGTAGACGTTGTAACTCAGGAGAGGACGTTTCGTCATCTGACGGCACAACGCCGTCTATGTAGCTGATGTCAGAATCCGGCAAGATGCGAAGTCTGCCGCTCCTGGTCCTGTCACTAACACGACCAGTTTCCTTGTATCTTCCTGAGGTCATCTGAAGTGATTTTATTGAGCCTTTCCACATATCCTTTTGTGACAATCTTGCTTGTATCACAGGATATGTGAGATGTTGCTGATGAAGAAGTATAATCTTGTGTCGCAAATAGATCGCAATCCTTGATCCTCGCACAAACCTATCGATATCGATTATATCTGCTGCGCTTCTGTCCTGATGACCATGAGTATTTTTGTGTTCTTAAATGTAAAGACATCTTAACGCTGCTATTCAATTGTCTGCACAGCTGAACCTACCCTACTCCAATATACAAGCGTCTCTTTGAAAGGCATTATGAATACAATTTGCTGGAAGGTGGGTTTCATCCTCTATGTTTCTGATGCTATGTAACGCATGGCGCTTCCTGTTATTTCGTGCACCTGCTTAGGATCGTGAGCAGACAACGTAATTAACTATCGGAGTTGTCTGGCTATACGTTATCATAAACTGTGGGTTTGTTTTTATTCAAGTATATATTCTGAGTATATTGTTCATTGTGAATAACTGTTTTCAGTCTGATTCGCAATCGAATGTCTAGAAAATAACGAATTCATTAAATCACAAATATATCTAGCTCTAAAAGCTGCAGATCCCACGTATCTGAGACACTCGACATGTGTATACATGCATAATAAAGAAGTTGACATCATTAAATTCTCTTCCTCACATGTATGTAGCATCCGTGTATCATCTATTTATTACTTCGTTTTAAGGAAAGTTATTCAATTTTCAGTCTAAGACCCCAATAACAGAAGCATAAGCTTCATTAGCACATCAAACCGAAATGTTTTTTTGTATCCTTAATCTTGAATGCTAAATGAAACAGAGAATGTGATGGCCGCTGTTAACATTCAGCATTTCAGGCATTATACTGACGAACGCTGGTCCTTAGTGTGTATGAATCAGATGAGCCAAGGACCAGAAGCAGGGTGAATCTAGAAAAACACAATCAGTGTGTTCAGGCACCACTGGGAATTGCGTTCTCATACACTACTCCCCATTCTGAAGACTATTGATAACTGATACAAATGAGTTACACACATTAGCGAATATAAACATTTGTCTATGAATTTCTTATTGATTAATATGGAATACGTCATGCATCCTTGCGGAAAAAATACAGCTTTAACAACATATCCATGTAAAGCTTTATACTGTTAATTGACCTACCACCTACACCTCTTGAAATATAACACGAGCAACAGGCTTAGATAGCTCCAGGTTAGATTGAACATACATCCGACATACATGGGAAGTAACGCACGACAGCATTTCTGAAGTGTACATGCAGTGTACCAATATGGCGCCACTTTCTCGGCACTATTACCGACTTTTGCGGCACTATCAAGGCACTATCAAGGCACTTTTGCACCACTTACGAGAAATTTCACGGCATTAGCGCGCAACTTTCGCTGCATTTTAGGTGTTGCATCCTTGCAGAAAAAATACACTTTTTAGGAACATGTCCATGGAAAGCTTTGTAATGTTAATGGACGTAACCATCAACACCTCTCTAAATATGATAAGAGGAACAGGCTTTATATAGCTCCAGGTTCGATTGAACATACATGTTCATGTATTTTCGCATCCAATATAAATGGGGAAGTAACACACGACAGCATTTCTGAAGTGTACTTGTAGTGTACCAATATGTCACTGTACTTTTACCCACTTTTGCAGCACTATCCTGCCGCTATCACGTCACTTTTGCGCCACTAACGCGAAACTCAGGGTCACTTTTGCTAAACTTTTACGGTGCTATCACGAACGCATCGTAAAATAGTTTCACGATAGGGGAAGTGACTTTTGAAATGTAGTGTACCTTGATATCACTCTAAGACAGTGGGCTGTGTAGCGTTTTGAACACTTTGAATATTTGGACACATCAGCCATCCATAATGATTTACAAGTATGCCATTTTTCGTGACTCAAATTCCTGTTATTTGTAGACATTGAGGAATTCCCCTAATGTAGTTCTGTATGTCTCCACTCGATCGACAACATAATCACGTGACATACTGACGCTTATCGGGAAATAAACAAAAGTCAGCTTGGAAGTGTTTATCTAGGTGAGGGCAATGGCTACTGTCAATATTAAACTATGAAACTACTGCAGGGCAAAACAGATTACATTGTGACCCAGAGTTATGACATTTTGTTAAACTGCATCCTTCACTTGCGCCTTTCAAAGCCTGGACATTTGCTCGCCACTTTCCTCAAATGAACCGTCGGTGTAAACTGTAAGTTCTTCTGTGTTCAATATGGCAGCCAGGATTGGGACAAGAAAAGTGCAATCTTTCTGACCTTGTTTCTCATATTGTGTGTTCTTATGATTGTGATAAGAATACAGCTGAACGAGACAGACTCTGGTTGAACATCAGCGCTACAACTATTGTAAGCCTATGTTAAAGTATGGGAGTTACGATCATCTTAGCGCTAAGATCGCTTTGTGCAAGTGGGCCCTGGTCCTATCGAATGTTCTGCCACCCTCTTCTGTCCTTTCATGTGTCCCACTTGTCCTGCTTAACAACAGTGACACTGATATGTATACCAGTACTGTTATCAAAGGGTTGTACCACCCGTGCAAGGACGTAATCGCTACTTGCATAATAAAGCAATCTATGATTGCTGACATTGCCATACTCCTAACATAACTGTTTCCATTATAATGTCCATCCAATCTTTATACATTCTCCCATGTCTCCCTGGTTCTAACTCTCCTATGGAGGAATAAACAATATATATCATCAAGCGTAATCAGTAATCCACGGAATCGGAACATAATCGCAGTCAATCAGCCATGTCACCGAGCGTGAGCACCTGATTTAGTCAGCTCCCAAACATCAGATACTGTGGATATTTACTTATCTGCCTGTAAAGCACCTCCAACAATGTCAACAGGGCACGGTCGTTTATGGAAAAAATAAAAGACAACAATTTTAAATATTTGGAAAACTGCAGGTGGCCATTCTAAATTCCACTCAACTGATAAAAGTAGGCATGCAAAGCTTTGCTTCAGAATGATAGACGAACACACCCTGTTCTTTTTAGACAGAAAGTAGTATATATATGCTGAACAGCACAATGAGCCCTCACTGAAATGTTCAGCTAATGTCCAAGTACGATAAATGAGCAGCTCTTTGAGAAGTATGATCCCGATAGTCGCCTCTTACGACAAGTATAGTCGCCTTTACGCAAGCATGTGTTCCTGAAGACCTATTCTACCGCGGATCTTCACAGGTCTGCAACATGGTAATGAAAGAATTCGAGAAAATTGAAATGTAGACGCCAATTTTGAGCATGATCAACCGAGTAATCCACGGCATAGGGAAGGTGAATCAACAGATACATGGTCAGTCAAGTCACGGCGGGAGATCACCTGATCCTATTTAGTCAGCTCTATCTATCTCCAACATCAGATACTGTGGATATTTTGCTCCATGTTACAAACTCAGTAAACTGATCTAAATAAGTGCTTGAAAACACCCCAAACAATGTCAAAAGGGGCAAGGTTGTTAATGGTGAGAATAAAATATATCAAACAATCTGAAATATTTGGAAAACTGCAGGTGGCCACTTTAAAGTCAACACATCTGATAAAAGCAGACATGCAAAGCTTTGCTTTAGAATGATAAACAGACACACCTGTTCTATTTTGAAAGAAAGTAGCATATATATACCGAACAGTACATTGAGCCCTCAGTGAAGATTTCAGCTCGTGTCCAAGTAACAAAAAAGAGCAGCTCTTCGAGAAGTATGATGAAAATATTTGTCTTACACTTGTTATTCCTAGGAATAGTCGATGCAAAGAAGAATATTTTGTTTTTAGTCTCGGATGATTTGAGACCCAATCTCGGTGCCTATGACGGACCAGATGCGCCATCTCCAGTTCATCCAAAGATGCACACACCAAATATTGATGCGCTTGCTGCTAGATCCCTCCTTCTAAAGCGAGCCTACGTCTCAGTGGCTTTATGCAATCCAAGCAGGACAGCCCTCCTGACCAGCAGACGCCCTGACACAAGCCACATCTGGCTAATCGGACCTTACTTTCGTCAGTATGGAGGTAATTTCACTACACTGCCCCAGTATTTCAAGCAAAATGGGTACAGAACCATAGGAATGGGGAAAATATTTCACCCAGGTCCATCCTCCGGAAGTGACGATCCTGTTTCATGGACTGATCCCTACACCCATGCTACTGATGCGTACATAACTAACAATCTTCTTATTGAAGCGGTCTCCGAGGAGAGAGCTAAGGCCCAGCCACTACAAGATCAGATTTTGGCAGAGTCTGCCATTCAGGCACTAAATGAGGTGGCCCCAGAAGCTAGGTCAGGTGAGCATCCTTTCTTTCTGGCTGTGGGTTTCCGTAAACCCCATATTACCTGGAACTTCCCCGCACGCTTTAAGGACTACTATCCTCTGGAAAGTTTGAAGCTACCACCAAATTACTATGCTCCAGTAGGAATGCCTGCTATTGCATGGCATAATTTCAGTAACCTGGCACTCTACAAAGATATGCAAACCTATCACTTGACAAATGTTGGGAACATTAACTTTACATTTCCAACAACACTTACTCTGGAAATGCGACAAGCTTATTACAGCTGTGTGAGCTATGTAGATTACGAACTTGGTAGGGTCATTGACGAACTGGATAACCTGGGCTTGACCAATAATACAATAATAGCCTTCTGGGGGGATCATGGATGGCAATTGGGAGAACATGCTGAATGGTTGAAGCAGACTAACTTTGAGGATGCAACACATGCCCCGATGATGATTCGTGTTCCGGGGGTTACCGATCATGGTATTGTCACTGAGAAACTAACAGAATTTGTTGATCTCTACCCAACCCTCGTGGAGGCTGCAGGACTTCCCAAACTTGAGCAGTGTCCACCAGACTCCCAGAATGTCAGTCTGTGCACAGAGGGTACAAGTATGGTGCCACTTATGACGAATCCGACACTGGAAGCATGGAAAACTGCAGCATTCTCCCAATACCCCAGAGGAGGCAACGGACTTGATGGGGACATTGTCATGGGTTACAGCATGAGGACAGATATGTATCGATACACAGAGTGGATCAACTTCAAAGGCAGGCCTATTTATAAACCCATGTGGGACCAACTACAGGGAGTTGAACTCTATGATCATACGAAAGATCCAGAGGAGAACTGGAACCGAGCCGATGATCCATCTTACAAAGACGTCAGGGTCGAGTTGTCCAGGAACCTGCAGTTGGGCTGGAGAGGGGCTTTACCTAGCAGACACGTCGGCGGTCGTCAACACCACCTGTAACTACCTTTATTTTTCCATAACTTCTCATGACATAAATTGTCATTATGCAAAGAAGATATGATTAAATATCATTGTTACCCAAGATGTGGTTTGCTCATTTTGTTTCCATTTACTTTTAAGTGTTAATGGATACATTGTCTCTGAAAATGAAGATTGGTTAGAGAAATGTTCAACCAACATTGTCTCAAGTAACATAGATAACTTCTACCTCTTATGGCGTTGTGTGCGCAATCTGTTGGTTAAGTTTACATTTATAAATAGCAAACCCAGCAGATGAACCTGTCCTATGTTGAACTGATTTGAGTCTTTATTGTATTTTTATTGTCAGTGGTTCCATTGTCGATGGTTTCGCAAACACCGGATATCATCACTATTAGATAGTGGTTCATAAGTGGCCAGAATTGCTCATGATATAGCCAGAATCCAACTTTTCACAGAGATTTCCTATGTATATGGAAAGTGTTGTGTTGATTTTATTTTCTGGTGACATAGCTAATTATCACCGGATGTTAGGTAAAGCACATTGGATTTCATTTTCTGTGGTTTCAAGACAGGATTCGATCTAATTGAATTCACAACACTAGTAGTAATACTGTTACGTGTCAATTCCCAAATTGAAACAATATATTAACGCAGAAATCTGTACGTAAATGAACTTAGTGTGAAACCAACAAACAACCAACAAATGGTAAATACTTAACAAGTGTATTACAAAATTAGCCAGGTTTACACATCAATGCATCAAATACTCGCAAATTACGGAACACCATTTGCAATGGCAGTACACAATAGGGTGGTAGTACAATATTCAATGACAGTATATAATATGCAGTGGTCAGTATCAAATGCAAAAATACGGTGATAATCATAGATTCACCCAGGGGCAAGAGTGGTCAAGCTTCCGAGATGGACCTAAGCAGGGAATACAGGGTGATCTTCACATGGAAGCTGGTCTTGATGTATTATCAGATGAAAATGTGTCATGACATGTGCGAGAGATGTTGTAAAGCTCTATACAATGCTGGGCGAATTTCGCTGTTTCCAGCAGTTACCACACCACCGTAGCATCAAAATATAGTAACTTCCTGACGACTGTTTACAAAAATAGTACTATGTTCCTGACGCCTGACCACTGTCCAAATTTAATGCAATGAGCGTCAACCGAATCGCAACAGAAACAATGCAGCACAGTTACATTCATTGTTCAATAATACAATACACTGGCATATAACAACAATAACAGGTTCTTGTATACATTTACATTTGTATGTGTCTGAAACAACTCGTTAAAGTAAATCATATTTAAATAAACTAAGCCAATGAGGTGACGCAAATAAACATGAAAGTGGGTGTTATTTAATGTCACAGTATGTGTTACTGCTACAACACAGCAACCTCTGTATAATCAAATCTAGACAAGACAAGCCACTGAATGAAAGCATGTGCAACCCTCTACACCGTTGGAATACGGAGACACAACACTAGCCACAGAGTCTGATAATATATTCCCAAGTACTGTCGGATCCTGCCATATGATGTCCTGCAACCGAACAAACTACACCATCATGCATCAAGGTTAACTGGAGGCATTGATATACATATACAACTATAACTGAGGTATGGTCTCATAAAACGTCACAAAATGAGAAACGTGTCTTTTCAAACAAGGTATATTTGGCATAAATGTGGCATATTACGCCAGCTCACTGAGCTTAGTGTATCATCACAGCTCTAGTGGACAGACCGCTTGGCTGGAAAACGGAATGTCGTGGCTAGGTACACGGCCTCATCCTTCCAAAAGACGTTGAAAGATGACACTTGTTGGTTGCCTACCTGGCACTCGGTTGTCTAGGACTCGGGCCATCAGTTCGGACTAGTACACAGTGCCAGTGGCCATAAATAAAATGCAATGTAGTATAGACAGGCCCCAATTTAACGGTACACCATGTCGCAGAACAAAGATCGAGGTATCACAATGACTTCATTCACTATGAGGCCCAGTGAGTTTACTTTAATAAGAAATACTTCATTCTGAGAATGATTCAAGTTGTGATTTGGCTTGCACTTGTATAGATTGGCCACTTTCTTGTCTACAGGCAATCAAATCTAGCTCTTCACGTCATCCATTTATTATCCCCCGCCACGAAGCGGAAGGGGGATATAGGAATGGGTGCCGTCCGTCCGTCCTTCCGTTCTTCCGTCCGGCCGTCCTCCCTCCGTCCGTCACATTTCGTTTCCGGAGCAGATCTTGCAAACTGTACCATATTCCTTCACCAAACTTGGCATATAGATCAATCTAGTGGTGAACTGGTGCCTTTTGATAGTTTGGGATTTTTAAAAAAAATATCTTTCGAGTTTCCATGGCAACGACTTTGATTTAGAATGAAAATGGCAGTAGTCCTCGTTTCCGGGGCAGATCTTGAAAACCGTACTATATTTCTTCATCAAACTTGGCACATAGATAGATCTGGTGGTGAACTGGTGCCTTTTGATAGTTTGGGATTTTTAAAATAGTTATTATTCGAGTTTCCATGGCAACAACTTTAATTTAGACTGAAAATGACGATAGTCCTCGTTTCCGGAGCAGATCTTGAAAACCGTACTATATTTCTTCATCAAACTTGGCACATAGATAGATCTAGTGTTGAACTGGTGCCTTTTCATAGTTTGGGAATGTTTTAAAAAGGTATTTTTTGTTTCCATGGCAACGACTTTGACTTAGACTGAAAATGGCGATAGTCCTCGTTTCCGGAGCAGATCTTGAAAACCCTACTATATTTCTTTACATAACTTGGCACATAACGTCATCTCACAGTGTTGAATACATTTCCTTTCTTGTTGGTAAGTTCTGTATTGCTTGAGTGTATGTACCTCCAAAAGTGTCATGGACACAGTTGTTGCATTCACTGACTAACTTCATACCGAAACACATTTTATTACAAATACAACAGTGAAACTGATCTTAAACCTACTCAACTGTATAAACAATATATATTCTTGTCAACCATACTCTGTACTTCACTTGCTTGATAATGATGTTAGAACATACACCGAAACCATCGCTCCTAATTGTAATAAAGAAGTTGTTTGTCCATATGTCTCATCCTTTCTCATTACAAATTCAGTAACAAATTCTATCATAAACTGCAGATGGAAAAATAACACCAATAATAACTTTTTTTTAGTGCTGCAATTAGGCCATTTACAAAAAGGCCCAGTGAACATAGTTCACAGGAGCTAATGCATTGCACACACCCGACATGCTGGCCAATACGACATCGTCTTTTGCTGGTTGCCAGTCATGCTGGAATCACGGGTAACACTATGGCTGATGATGCAGCAAAGGCAGCTCTCAACAAATCTGTTGACACCACTTCTGCTACCATACAGTGACTACAAGACTGTCATTAGGTACTATATCAAAGATCTAATGCAAAAGAAGTGGGACAACCAAGTAGGTTCTAACAAAGTACATGCAATAAAACCAACTATCGGTTACACTTACTTGGGTTGTCAGTCCAGATTTGAAGAGGTCATTATGCGACGATGTCGTATTGGCCATTCGCGTTATACACATGTGTATTTATTGCAAAGTGAATATCCTCCATTCTGTATCCCTTGTGATGAAAGAATCACAGTCAAGCATGTCCTGCTTGACTGTATAGATTTTTCCATCACAAGGGATAATTATTTCCAGGTTTCATCCATAAAGGATCTTTAATGTAAGCTCTCATTTAATTCTTGGATTTTTTAATGAAATTGAATTATTAGATAAATTTTGATTATATATATTGTAAAAAGTAAGTGATTTTAATTTTGGTAGAATGATTCGATAACTGTGATTGTTTATGACTTTACCTTCAAAGGGGGTTGAAGTAACGTAAAATAGTTGTCCCCCTGCAAGAGTATGTAAGTCCCAGTTCATGCAAAGTATGTTTCATTTCCATGTTTTTAATCGTAGAATTCTTATTGTTTTTAAATGATTTCGCTAAAAACTTTCTAACAATCACCAGTGGCCAGAGGGATGGTGTAAATCCTGCTTTGGTACCATGCAGAAAGCAGATGTACCGTGGTCCCTTTTATAGTGACCTACCTTTGGTTATTGGTGATCTATAGCCCATTTTTATTGTGTACTGTTATGAATTGTTCAAATTTTATGATGATATGCTAGTTTTAAATCTACATCTGAAATAGTCTAGTGCTATTACTGTCCTTTGTCGACAGATTTTAATGTCTATATGTATGTATTATTACCTTATAACTTGATTTTGTCACTATATGGCTGAAATATTGCCGATGTGACTTTAAATTTTAAGTCACTCACTCACTCACATAACTATTTCCATTATTAATTACCATCCAACCTTTATACATTCTCCCATGTCTCCCTCGTTCTTACTTTCCAATGGAGGGATAAACAATATATATCACTGGGCGTAATCAGTAATCCACGGCATCGGAGCATAATGGCAGTCAATCAGCCATGTCACCGAGCGTGAGCACCTGATCCTATTTAGTCAGCTCCCCAACATCAGAAACTGTAAATATTTCGCTCCATGCTGCAAACTCGGTGGACTTATCTGCCAGTAAAAGACCTCCAACAATGTCAACAGGGCAAGGGTGTTCATGGAGAAAATAAAATACAACAATTTGAAATATTTGGAAACTGCAGGTGGCCACTCTAAATTCCACTCAACTGATAAAAGTAGGCATGCAAACCTTTGCTTCAGAATGATAGACGAACACACCCTGTTCTATTTAGACAGAAAGTAGCATATATATACCGAACAGCGAAGTGAGTCCTCGGTGAAGATTGCAGCTCGTGCCCAAGTGTGAGAAATGAGCAGCTGTTTGAGAAGTATGATGAAAATATTGGTCTTACACTTGTTAATCCTAGGAATAGTCCATGCAAAGAAGAATATTTTATTTTTAGTTTCGGATGATTTGAGACCCAATCTCGGTGCCTATGACGGACCAGATGCGCCATCTCCAGTTCATCC